ATTGCGCTTATTATATACAATGAACTTAAAAAGAAGACAAGTACGGGTCTTTGACAGATTAAAACTTGCCCTTGCATTATCTCATTTTGAGTGTTTCCCCACAAACAGGAAATGGACATGTTTGACTTGACGCGACTGTGTATGCGCAGCGTGCAGGAGTCTCGTTTGCATGAAATGCATAGAAAAGCTATGTCAGTGTGCGTATTCCATATTGCAATCTGTTCGTGCTTGTTGACGAAGCCACATAAGAAGGGTTACTACATAGGAAACGTAATTTATTATGCGACGCTGAAAACAAGTGACAATTACGCAGATGGAAAGCGAGAGACTAGCGAAGTGCTATGTGGGGGAAGGGATCGCTATACGTTCAACTTATACCGACTCTGGGCTTACAGTAATCTCATTTATTACTATGCGATTACGGTAGTTGCGCAATAGTAGATAAAAGTTAATAATTCAGAGACGAACAGCTTGCTGGATTACTGTACACGATAGCTATTATCTGGGCAGAAACGCAGATTTTGACGAGAAATCACTGAAAGGGTTACCGTTGAATAAATCTATTGGTGAAGACCTAGTTTAAGTGAAAATTTTAGAAATATTACGATCATGATTGGGAGATTATATGTGTTTTGCCACCTTTCTCAAGACTCTGGAAGATTTTTTCCTGCAACTAATTGTCAGAGGGCGCGGATCACCGACCTACCGATCTTCAGTGGCGGGAAGAAAAGCCCGCGCTGACCCCTTCGGCAGGGTATAAATACCGGGAGTCAGGGGGAGTCTCGGAGTCCGCGCTGGAGAAGCGCTAGAGGGAGCTAACTCCGTCGAAGAGAGGCGGAACTCCCCCTTAGATAGAGAGTGCCTAGTAACTAGTTAGCCTGCCGAAGTGGTCAAGAGGGTAAAGCCCGTCGTTTCGTTGTTGAGCCGTGTTCAAGTTACGCATTTCATTGTTGTTTGTTGCCGTTTATCTGAGATAAATTGTTAGTCGTTCATTCCGTGTTGTCTATCGATCCGGTTAAAACCGTCATACCACTAGACACCCCCGGTTACATGGGGGCCGAACCGGGATGGATCGATTGAAATACACATGGGGCGACTGATATTGACTGTCTCAGAGGCAAGACAGCAGAGAACGCGTAGAACAGGCCAAGAAGGCGAAACCAAAAGACCAAAAAGGTGGGAAACTATACGTCATCGAACAGGTGACTACGTAACAGGCCAAGAAGGCCAGATCTAAGACCAACTGGAAAAAAAGTCTCTATCATATCATACAGAGCAGGCAGTTAAGGTATAAGGGGGAAGTGATTATTGATCAAATCATCCATGCTTAATAGAGGCGTGAGTATCGATTGTGACTGACTCTTTTCGATCAGCTGAGACGCGCGATTTCGCGTGCGGCGTTGACTACCGATGAATGTAAAGGCAAGGCGAAGCATTTCGCTGCCGAGTACACTTATGTTCATGGATATGGATCAGAAGCAAAGATGTGCAGATGATATCCATGAGAGAAAAGCACACTTGATGATGGAGGAGATAAGCCTCATCAGAAAAGAAGTGGAAATGCTACCTGGGATGGTAAGCAAGGTCCTTAACCGATGTGGGATACCGGTTGATGGATTGCCACTTGAAGAAGAGTTGGAGGCTAAGGTAGCCACAGTGTTAGGTAGGCTGGAGAACCTAACAGCCGAGTTAGACCAGGTACTCGGTCCCAGAGCAACGGCAGTTGCAGTGAGGGAAGGCAGTGTGTTGAGAGGGTCGGAGGTCGGACCACTCGACAATCATCGAGGTGTGGAAAATCAGATGCTCAGCTATTCTCAAAGCATGACTTTTCCTGATCCTGGAGTCTTCAAGGGCTGTGATGATGAGGACTTTGACAGATTCATTCGGAAGTTCAAAAGAAAGTATGGTACCATGATCCGGGATGAACAGTTGCTAATAGAGGTCCTGGGTGATGAACACTTGGAAGGAAGGGCAAAGTCCTTGTTTTTGAGTATACCCATGGGGGTAAGACAGCAAGGCTTTGATAGAGTAGTGAGGGAGATGTCCTCACTACTGGCCTGTGACTCCACAGCAGCTAGGTTAAAGGCGCTGACAGCCTTAAGGAACATGCGCTTAAGGCCAGGCCAGGAGGTTGCAGACTTCTGTGTCGCCGTCGAGAACCTAGCAAGGAAGGCCAATCCTCAATGTACCATTGAGGAAAGATCGATGGAGTATGCACAGATTCTGCTGGAGAATCTGACGTCATGGCCGGAATACGTGCAGCTGGTGGGGAACCTACACCAAGTGGATCCAGCTGAGGCATATAACAGGATTAAAGAAGTAGCGATTGAAATCGAACAATCGCGGAGGTTCTGCAAATTTGAGAGGAGGAGTGAACAACAAGCTACGTCCTGGAGGAAAGCAAGTAGAAGCGAAGGGTATGTGCCAGCTATGACTCAAAGTCGAAGCAGCTCAGCGGAGAGAAGCGAAAGGGAAGTTGGCATGAGAAGGCAGGAGTCATTGAGCTCGGATGCCAGCTATGATGAGGATCAAGAAGAAAGAAGATGCTTTAAATGTGGTCACTTCGGACATATGGTAAGAGATTGCAAGTACAGGAAGACGGAGATTGAAGGCGCTACCAAGGCTTCGACTGGAGTAGCATCCATGATAAGTAGGAGCCGTAATATGGTCGTAAGAACCTCTCAAGTTGAGGCAAACGGTGTTGGTAAAAGGACGTTGACTCGGGCGAGGATATTGGGAAGACAGGTGTCGGCACTCATTGACACGGGTTCAATGATAAGTATACTACCCGTGAAGGTGCTTGTAGAAGCAAGGGACAGTGGCTACGATGTTGAGTCACTTCAGACTTTCGATGTTCCGGAAGGAAGCATACGCGATGCATCAAACCATGTCATGAGTTTTCTCGGTGGTGTAAAAGTAGAAGTTGAACTAGTAGGAGGATGTAAGAAGGAAGTAGCCTTCCATGTTTCGGACGATGAAGACAAGGAAGTACTCATCGGCACAAATGCATTGAAGGATCTAGGATTGGAAGTAGTGATACACAAGGAGCCTGAAGTCAAAGTAAAAGCAAAGGATAGGATGGTGCCTCTACAGAAGAGAAACACCGCTTCAGTGAGAGCGAAGATCCAGCAAGGTACCATAACTGTGAATAGATCTAACTTGGAGATGGACAGATCTGTAACTGTCAACAAGAAAACTTTCATTGAGAGAAAAAGAGATGTCAAAGCAGGCAAAGGAATCTGGTCAGAGGAAGCTTGTGAGCACAAATGGAAGAAGTCGACACGTAGGAAGGGCAGCAAAAAGCACACTCCTTCCAGAAGTGATCGAAAAATGTGCGGAGAGGCACAGAAAAGAGTCAAGGTTCAGAAGACAAGCAGTAAGAAAGGACAAAGTTCTGAGAAGGAACGTCCTGTTGCGTTTATTGCACCGAGATGTGCAACATCATTTGAGGAAGTTGGGCTGAAGAAGTGTGGAGTACTGACCAAGGTGGCAGTATCATTCAGTCAACTCAAAGAAGCGTTAAAATACTTGAAGAACTGTCGCATGTGGATCATAGCATGGCCCATGAACCCAAGAAGGGAGGATGAGGCTATCATTGAGACATTGCGGATATGCAAGAAAAACCTCGAAGAAGGAGGAAAGATTGTATCCGTGTGGCCGCCACCATTGTTCAAGAAGATTGGTATGTGGAAAACGAAGTCAAAAGTGTGGACGGTGATTGAATTAGTACTGAAAAAATGGGCAAACCCAAATCAGTTGTTCACGTTGGATCCCTCAAGGACAGAAATTGGGAACGTGAACAGAGAAGCAGATGGACCCCAAAAATTCTTTTCAGGTATACGACACGCATTTCAGGGACGGATATGCGCGCTACCACTACAACGACATTCGCAGGAGAGTTCCCGGTGCAAAGCTCAGCAAGTTGCAGCAGCCGCCGAGGACGTCGGCTCCCCGGAAGGGAGGGATGTCAGAGGGCGCGGATCACCGACCTACCGATCTTCAGTGGCGGGAAGAAAAGCCCGCGCTGACCCCTTCGGCAGGGTATAATTACCGGGAGTCAGGGGGAGTCTCGGAGTCCGCGCTGGAGAAGCGCTAGAGGGAGCTAACTCCGTCGAAGAGAGGCGGAACTCCTCCTTAGATAGAGAGTGCCTAGTAACTAGTTAGCCTGCCGAAGTGGTCAAGAGGGTAAAGCCCGTCGTTTCGTTGTTGAGCCGTGTTCAAGTTACGCATTGTTGTTCATTGTTATTTGTTGCCGTTTATCTGAGATAAATTGTTAGTCGTTCATTCCGTATTGTCTATCGATCCGGTTAAAATCGTCATACCACTGGACACCCCCGGTTACATAATTATTTTTATTGAGTGCAAATTTTCCATTGACCAGTCTTTTTATTTCATTGATCTGTAAATTTTTCTTTTTCTCTCAAATGCTTCAGAAAACTTCTTGGGCAATTTAGAAGCAGATTTTTTTAATATCATTAGCTTAGGCGTCAGTCTAATCAGTGGTAAGCTTTTCTTTCTTTCTCTGGAAGAAATTTAGCTTTTGCCCACTGGGATGCCTGAGATATGAGCTAAGTCAATCAAGTCATGTGCCTGTTCTTTAGCTTCATGGGAAGTAAGATATGGTTATTTAATTTGATCTCATCCACTAATGTCTTTCTAGTATGAGAAACTTCGATCAAAATCGCTTCCTTTCATAATATTAAAAAAATGATAAAAAAAGTAAATACACAGATAAATCATATTATTTCCCATTCTATTTCATACTGCGCATAGGGTTGCGTCACCGACGTCGACAATGCACAAGTTGCGGCGGCGCGTTTTAGTGCCTCTGAGTCGTAGAACGCAAATGCATAGTCCATTCTGCACACACTGTGCATTGCTAGCATAATTTGCATTCTTTTTGATACAACGATAAGGATTATTGAGATTTTCAGAATTTCGTTATTCTCTCGGTGTTCTGCTCCGAAATCCTTTTTTGAAGTTGGATTTTTTCATTTCAGATGCTAAAAGCGCTAACGCTATTATTGTTAGTAGCACCTACAGTCTTCTGCGTTAAGTGTCTTGATTGTGTGGGTAAAGACTGCATGGGGTCATTCTGTGAAGGTGATTACTGTATACTCTCACAATATGCACCTCGATGGGGTACGATAGAATGGGGTAAGCCGGAGGTGGTCAAGGTAAGGTATTACAGCAATTTGTGATTTTTGTGACATTAAATTGAACTTGTTTAGGGTTGTATGACGGGTTCATTATTACGGGATGATGTGCGTGACCACTGCGAAACGGCTGATCCAGAAGGAAAAGTAAGTTTTATTTGAAGTTGACGCAAAGTGAATGCCGATAAAATGCTGGTACAGCCTGTGTCATTCATCCATTCCTCCCTTTTTCGCTGCAAACGCTACGCCAGAGCTTCGCACCACGTATGCGCATGTACAGTCGAGTAGATTTAGCGGTAAATATAGTGTGCTTGCACAAAAGGTGAAATGCGGTGAAATTGGCGCGTGAAGAAATAGTTTCGACTGTGACGCCGGCCAATTGCGCACGCAAGATACCCGCGGTACTGACGTGGCTACTTGTTCACGCGCAAATTTCACCGCATTTCACCTGCTGTGCAAGCACACTATATTTACCGCTAAATCTACTCGACTGTACCCTCGGATTCAACTGGCTTGGCGGCTGGAAGGTGGGGCTTCGTAACCTAATCATGGCTAGGTAGTGATCAGAGAGACGCGCATTTGAGAGGCGCAGACTGCGTCGCGGGCGCGAGCGGCCTTAATTAGGTCACAAAGCCCCGCCTCTCAGACGCCAAGCCAGATGAATCAAAGGTTACGGCGTATTTTATTTGACGTTTATCGATTGAAGTTCCGCGCGCAAGACCTACAGTCCGTTTTGCGGTTCTGGTGTTCCGACGCAAAAGGAATTACATGATTGACACATCTGTAATAAGTTAACACTCGCCTTTCATGAGTGTGAGACTTATTTGCATTTTATCAGAGCCTGGATTGGGCATGTTGTGTGCATTTACACAAATCTTGGCAAACTTCATTTCTTTTCGAAACATTCCAATTTCTAGGAGATTTTCACATGTTTTTGTAATGGGCGAGATAATTGTAACGGTGGTCGAGCCCTACAGAGACTAGAAGTAGAGCAGGTCGAATTGGTAAGTGAGGAAATGAAATTGTTTGTAGCCATTCCATCAAAAAAGTTTCCTGTTTCAGCTGACCTGTGCTTGTTCGGGTGCACACTGCAAAGCAGACACATGTATTGGCGAAATGTGTAGCTATGTAATAAATCATAGGACAAAAGAAGTGGAAAAGGTCGGCTTGTTGAAGTTTTTCTTACACGCAAAAATGACATTTGACCGAGTTCGATAGTTCATGTGCACTGGGGGTGGAGGACTATATGTCGCCGAATTTGGAAGAGTCCCGCGCGGATTCCCTGCAGGAACGCATGTCTGCGCATGTTTAAGGGTGCGTATTTGTCACAAATGATCACGGGGACCGTCATTTTTCGGCGGCATATGGTCCTCTACCCTGTACACTGGGTATACATTAACGTGTAATAAACATAATTGCACATACAATAGATTCACGTTACAAAAAACCTAATATAGATATGCTCGATTGAATTACTTATGTGGAAAATGTACGGCTTGAAGGTCTGCGTATTTTTTGTTCACATACTTCCCACTACTCAAAGGCAGGGGACTGCGCCGACGCAGAGGCCGCAGCGCGTCATTGTTTGCGTCGATACTGTACATTTTATATCAGACACCAATGATTAGTAAACTAAGCTCCGCGCCCAAAAACGTTTATTTTTCGCTGCGTTTTGAATTTTTTTGACTTGTTAAATTCGTAATTAAAACATAAGATCTGCTACAGACGCCGGATCTTTTCGGCTATCCGGGCTTATTATTTGAAATTAGTTTCATCGCTCGCAATTCATTTATAGACTTAATTCACATTGATGTGAATATCACGCTCGCCAATTAATCATTTCGCGGCTGCGGTGGGTATACGGTAGGTCAGGGTCATACATCTGACTGAAATTTGCTTACGCAGCGTCCACGGTTTCGAACAAGTTTAAAGGTGTTTTTCTTTTTTTCTCTAGCACCAGATTATTTGAAACTTGGTAAAGTACTGGTATCAATTTATCGATCGCAGAGTGGGAGCGTTTTCAATTTTTGTTCTTCATATTCATGATATAATTACTTCAAAGACAATGCTCACCCAAAATCCATGCACCCCAGATCATTACTTAGTTATGAGAGACCCTGAAAGTAGACCCACTGTGTTGTCCGGTCCCCTAATGTGCCTCTAAAAGGAAAAAATGGACCTGCAAGTCGAAGAAAATCCTTCTGCCGCCACGCCCCCTTTTTCCACTCTTCCTATCCAAGCATTGCTCCATTGTTTTGACATGGTAAGCAATGTCAAGACGCATACTGTGTGCTGTGACACTGTTGCATACGACGAGGTTTCCTGTTGCATACGACTTGACTAGCTTTGGAGCACTCGTCCACGTCTGTCAGAATAGGTCTCCAATAAGAGCAGTTTGGGGCTTTCTAATTCTTTCTAGCGTAATTTGTCCCCATATTCGAAATCAGGGCCTTGGAAAGGTCCGATAACAATAAAAACATGGAAGAATCTCTGGTGGACGCTGCATTGAATGGAATTTCACACAGAAATGCAACATACAAAGCGTCCATTCGTCTTGTCAAACTCACTTCTCTTTTTTTGGCAGAATTCCCAACAACGCGCGGATTTTCTGACTCGTGACTTTCCTTACATTCATGCTTATTCAGGGCTGCGTTAACGCTTCAGTACCCTTGGTGGAGCGGCGGTCGATGGGATCTTGTATGATTCCACCTATCACAGGTGCAATGCATCATACAGTTGCTAAGGTGAGTTCATTATTTTCAAGAATATAATAAGATATTTACTTTCATAGGATGCATCGGACTTGCTAAAGACCGAATCGTGCGTGTGTGGCACGGATTACTGTAACGCTGAGAAACCCGAGATTACCGTACCCGAGAAGCAGAAATGTCAAGCTTTTGTCAATACAAAGGTCATGGGAACGCAAGTAAGTTTCTTTTATTGGTTTTGGTTTTTTTCGTCTTCGGAATTTCACACTTGTTTTTTAGATGAGCTCCAAAAATGTCACGTGCACCGGAGAATTCTGTTTCAAAGTGAGTTTTTTTGTTGTTAAGAAAAAATAAGAAAAAAACTAGTTATACACTACTTTGTGACGATATTATGTAGCTAAAAGCAAACGCATTGCGTACCATATTCACAATAAGCCGGTCTTTTTGAATGTTTCTCTAATCAAAGTTTTTTATCTTATTATAAAGTAGAAGTTCGTATGTTCCTGTCAGGTATTTGAAAAATTCAAGATATAAAAATAGAATTTGCGTCCTGAGGAACAATCGTAATGCTGTTTATAGAAGTGACTCTTACTCCAATAATGACTGACGGTAGGGTTACGGTAGCCTTGGGTAAGGAAACAATTCGCTAATTCATGTAAAAAATCGTATTTTAGGATTTCCCACCTGAGTATTATGGTGTAGTTTTTATTTTCTAGTGTATCACAGTGGGATTATATTATTTTATAATGGAATTTTTCACAAAATGAACAAGTAGAAAGATTAACTGCACTTTGAAAAATATCGCATTCGGGATCAGCAAGCTTGTTATCTATACATCTATGTACTGTCAACTTTGAATGAAGCAGCCTATCTCTTACCCTTTTATTCAACTGACTTGGCAGCTGGAAGGCGGGGCTTCGTGACCTAGTTAAGGCTAGATAAGGATCAGAGAGCACACACGCGACAGAGACGTAGACTGCATCGCGGGCGTGCGCGGCCTCAATTAGGTCGCAAAGCCCCACCTTCCAGCCGCCAAGCCGGTTGAATCAAAGGTTACTTACTCCGGTATTCCCGAAGCGCTCGTAATTATTACCTAAAAGCGATCATTTTGAAAGAAATATGAGTTTATTCCTTTGTTTGTTTTTTGCTGTACACTTACCGTATTCTCGTCTTTACAGTATGTCAAAATCGATAGTTCATTGAAATTACTTCTACAGGCAATAACTCTAGCCTCAAAAACCGCTCATTACAATGTCAGCACATGTTTCGTGCACTTTGTGCTCTCATCTATGCTCTGAATGGGTAATTCCCATAATCGCACTGTCGGCCGCGTCGCGTACTAGGCGCGTGAGTAGCGCGTATGCGAAATTATACGCAAACACGCACTAAAGCAAGGTACACGTTTTGTAGTCCTGTAAATACGATTTCCTTTTTTTTAGGCACGGATAAAGTCGAAGCTAGGACATATGACAGAATATAACACTATCGGTTGCGCTTCATTTACTGGAGATGATTCGTTGGCTGAAGAACTGAAACCTACTGGCTGTGCGAAATTCTCAAGCGAACAGTTGGAAGTGACTGCCTGCTTTGAGGTGTCTTTTGGGATTTTTGGGTTTTTTTTGTATTTTCACATTCAGCAAGTATTGTTTCAGACCAAGGACAGAGCAGCCATTGGTCGTGCGAGAGCTAATCAAGAAGTGCGAGAACCGAAGAGAAAACCTAAGGGCAAGGGAAAGCCCAGGTACACTGCTTGCGTCGATGTGAGAATAAGCTGAATTATAATTGTTTTCACAGGAAACCTCCACCAAAGATGGAAATAGAGTACGAAGAAGAGGAAGAAGAAAACGATGAAAATATGGAGGACGAGGCGAAAGAGGAAGAGGAGGAGACAAGTTAGCTTCATTTTCCTATAGTTTCAGCATGCATACTATAATCAGTGTTTTAGAGCAGCAGATGGAGAAAGAGGAGACCAAGGAAAAGGAAAAAGGCAAGGAAGAGGAAGCGAAAGAGAAAATGGCAGAGAAAGAAAAAGAAAAGGAAGAAAAAGCAAAAGAAGAAGACGAAGAAGAGGAGGAGGACAGCGAGAAAGATGAATCCGGAAGTGAAGCCACAACAGTGAAAAGCTTCATATTTGAAAGGCCTACGCAACCACCTATACCGGATGATTCGAACACAACTATGGTAATTACTGTCAGCAACATTATATTGTTTGGAAATTTTTTCAAAAAATGCAACCAATGGAGTCTAGTATAGTCAAAGACTTGTTCTGTGGCTGTATGCACCAATCTCCCGTTTTGAAAGCGGGCGATCATTTACAATAGAAAGTAATCGGCCGACCGAGTTGGGCACCCGACCCGTGTTGTATGATTTCTATTGAAAATATCGCCCACTTTTAAAACGGGAGATTGATGCATACCGCCCCTGGACAAGGGCAGATGATCATATGAGGGAAAGCGCACGCTACGTGACGCGTAAGCAGTATAGACCTTGAGGTAATTTGATGTGTGCATTCTATGCGCCCTAGCGATAATATTTGCTCCACGGCCGCTATCGCGCCCGCTTCGCATCGATAATCGAGAAGAAAATGCGGCTGTTTATCCTTGCCCTTCCCAAAAATTGGTACTGATCCAAAATAACAAACACATATTTTGAAATCTCGAATTCTATCGAAAATCGGGAGGGGGGGGGGACGAGGTTACGGTAGGCTGACCACGAGAGTCATAATCATTCGCGACGATGGCGCCTTACTGTAGAGTTACGGTACCTCTAATGGGGGCCGTTGAATGTGTTAAACGTGAGAACTATATCCAGTCGCAATACGGTAACGAATTTCTGATTACAGCTTAACATAAAATCGTAATGCTCGCATGTACCGTATACCCACCGTAACCTCTTATTACGTAGAATGGGATAGCGCTGAAAAAGTTTGTGTAAAGTGGCACTTGAGCTATGGGCATCAAAACTTTGCGGAGAGTTTATTAACTGAACTTTGCAAGGGGTTTATTGCAATTCTTTTTGAATATGCATTATTGTAACTAGTTACACAATCCCCTTGCTTTCAGTATGCCTCTGAATTATTTTATTACAGATCGCCGTCTTCATTCTCATCATGCTTTGTATTGTCGTCTCAGGAGCTGTATGGAAATTCGAATTACATAAGAAATTATTCCGATCTAGTTACGATACGGTAGCCGGTGGATAATAGCTATCGATCATGAAATTTTTGTATTTGCTGTATAATTTGAACCGTTTTCAAAAAAAAAATTTTTTTCTCTAGAGGAAGTTCGAACTTGTAGTGTTGTTGAATGCTTTGCTCCATATATGCACATGTTCATGTTCATATAGATCCTATTTATCACAGACGTATTTGATCTCATGCTTGATAGTTTCCAATATAGTTTCCGCAAATTTTCGTTCATATGATGTTTTTGAATGCATATTCACTTATGTTTGAGAATCTCCAAATTCTGCTAGTGATCTAACTTCCGTTTATAGTGTTTTTCCTGGAACGACCAATTTTCCTCTGTTTTCTTTGAGCTTTTTAGAATGCGCAAGATCAATACGCATCGTTTATGCAGTTTCTTTTCTTTTTGACTCTGCTAGTAGATTCTCCGGTCCATGTATAGTTCACGGTGCCGACAACACTTGTGCGTGATAATTGTCCGAGGGGCGCAATTTAGATCATGCGCTCTGTGGCCATTTTAGTCGTCGGCACCGCGAAGGCACCGTTTCACCAATCAGCTCCTCTAGTTCATATACTCTAACATTTAGCAAAGTTTATTTCTCGGTGATAAAACAATAGCAATATATATCTTCATATTTATTGACGCAATTATTTATTGAGTGCAGATACCTAACGTTTAATAAAGTTTTTTTTTCACTTTCTAGTCCAGCTTGATTGTGCCTTCTCATGAACGAACATATAGTGAAGCTATGCTAAATCCGGAAAAACACGCAGACTGCGAGCAGAGCGGCAATAGGCGAGGAGAGAGCTGATCCATTGCAGAAGTTGTTGTTTTTACAGTAGCAATTTGTGTGTGAGTCGTCATCTTCGATGATCTTGCATTCTGTAAAATGGTTGTATAAGATTTGATTCAGCCGGCTTGGCGACTGGAAGGCGGGGCTTTGTGACCTAATTGAGGCCGCTCGCACTCACGACGCAGTCGGCGTCTCTCCCGCGTGCATGCTCTCTGATCATTACTTAGCCTTAATTAGGTCACAAAGTCCCGCTTTCCAGCTGCCAAGAAAGTTGAATCAAAAGGTAGCTGGTCTGTGTCCTGAAGCTTTTCTCATAAGAGCGACGCAACGCGGCTCATTTGCTGCCTTTGACGCGTTGACACAGGTGCTCTAACCTAGATGCTTTGCAGAAGACGCGCCAGATGTAGCGCAGAAGCGCGAGAGGCATATAAAGCTTTGGTACCTGTGAAAGAGACAATATGCCACCTTGCCGACAAATTGCAATCGCAATTTTTCAACAATCTCGTTTTGTTTTGCCCCAGAAAAGTTATCCAGTAAAAGATAAAAAAGACACGCACACACACGAAGACACTGCCCAAGCGGCAGCGCAAACAATTCACTCACGACTGAGAGATTCAAACTGGATCCCGGCACCATCTCGACGGACGACTTGCATCATGTTCGCATGGATTCATACCACGACCCCCTCAGTTTTGCGTGGGCGGCGAAAGCACGAGCATGACGCAAGTCGTCCATAGTCTGAAGGCGAATTTCTCAGCCAATGATAAATCATTTGCGCTGCCGCTTGGGCAGTGCCTTAGTGGGGCCCTAAAATTCCTTCCGGGTGAAATCCCCATATGTCCAGATTTGCCGGACGCTACTTTTGAGTTGCCGCATACTCCTAAAAAAATGACCTTGACCGCTAACGTACGCCAAAATAAGAAGCTTGCGATAGATAATAAGAAATCACTTTCATTGCAAAGTGCCAAAAATCAATAAATCATAGAATGGCCCAGCGAATCGCAGTAAAAAGTAACCCAAGAGCACTGCAGGAATCGAAAATATGTGTGTGCGAAGTTTCGGCTTATCGGCTTGGTAAGCGCTTCTTTAACAAACGAACAACTTGATAAACATTTCTACACAATTTGAGTTCTATAAATATAAAGATGTGACGTTTCCTCCTGCAGACGGAAATAGCAGTGCCAACAGCAACTTTTTTCGTGATTTGGATACCCCATATAAAACTTAACTTCATATAGAAAACGATATCGTCGCCTCCCGGAATAAATTTAACGGAGCACCACCACTTCATTTTTTACTGCATGGAGAATTTAAGGATGTGCAAGTTATCCGAGCAAAACTTGCAGTGATCAGAAATTCGGCTCATTCCAGAAAAGAGCTTTAAGAATCTTCACTAAAAATGAAGCATTCTTAGGTTGCACTGAATGGTCGATTTTTTTAAGTTTTAAAGAAAATTTGCAGGTAACAATATGGAAGTGTGACTTGCACTTTTAATAGCCACTTTCGCATTAATATCTTGATGATCTCTTAGCGCTCAATATGAAATATATTAGGTCGTTTCATAAGTTCGTAGACTTTTTATTTTTGTCGCCGTTTTTCGATGAAGCGGTTCGTTTACGGCAAAGTACCTATACCATTGAAAAGAGAAAATCTTGCTCTACAAGAACTGTTGTTCGTTTTTGGAGCAAACTTGAATCCCCTTCTTTTACGACTTATCAAAGCAAAATTTTTTGAGAGGCAAAAATTGGCGATTGCGGCAACTGCACTTTCCGCATTTGGTCCGTATTCCGCAAGATGTTTCTGTCATAGGTAGGCGGGATGGATAGTAGCAAGCAAGACTGAAACACTGACAAATTTGCAGCATGCCAATATGCATAGAACCGTTTGAACAAGGTCCCAATGGTTTTGTTGTCTTTGACTGCTGCCGCTTGAGTTTGGCGCGTTGTTCAGCGACACAATGTGTCGGTCCTCCTATCGGAACTTGAGGAATGGATGCGTTCTTCTAAGTGGTGTAGATATATGAGTACAAGCTCTGACCAACATTTTACGCTTTCTCAAAAAAAATTTTTGACGTGGGAACTTTTTAAAATTGTGCCAAACGCAAAACATCTACACACATGGTAAACGTGCGCTTAATCTTTCTTTATAGCCTCTCTTTGGATATGGAGACTACTTTTATATGCACCGTAGTACCACAAACAGTTGTTTCTCATCACTCATAACAACTTCAGACGAAAAATTCCCACTTGTGGCTCCGTATACGGATCGAAAGTTGCAGTTGCCGCAATCGCCAATTTTTGCCTCTCAAAAAATTTTGCTTTGATAAGTCGTAAAAGAAGGGGATTCAAGTTTGCTCCAAAAACGAACAACAGCTCTTGTAGAGCAAGATTTTCTCTTTTCAATGGTATAGGTACTTTGCCGTAAACGAACCGCTTCATCGAAAAACGGTGACAAAAATAAAAAGTCTACGAACTTATGAAACGACCTAATATAATCTCGGTTTCCTCCTTTTTTGCATGTTAGTGGTTTCGATTCAGATTTCGGACAAACAACGTTGCATTTGAAATACTTCCTTCCTTGAACAAGATCAACTTATTAAAGTTACAACAATCTCAAGAACATTCCAAAAGGGTCTGAGAACTTCCTTGACAACCTAAAAGTATCGATATAGTAAGTGTCAGATAGCGTCCACGGCGTTGACTGAACCGCACTGGGATTTACTGGACTTCCCCCCCCCCACGGCGTTGACTGAACTGCACTGGGATTTACTGGACTTCCCCCCCCCCCATACAAATTCTCCGATTCTGGTGGGGATATGCAACAAAACTTACCACTAACATCGCCATCTAGAGGTGGTGTAGAAGAACATCCGTGAAGAATTCCATTTGCTGAAAACACAGTTTATTTACAGGTGAAATGAATTTTTATATTCACTCGCATTTTGCATTTGGTCCTCTCGTACAATATTCCCCATAGCAGAAGTTCTTTTCAGTGCAGTAACTATTCCAATCGACAGGATTTTTTGGGGTCAGACAATCATAGCATTGAACTTTGCAATGCACCAAAGATGCTGAAATATATTGGAATAAAGCCTTGTTCAATGGTTAAGTCTTACTTACCTGGTAACAACAAGAACACTACGCTTGACTTCATTCCGGAAAGAGAGTGAATAGACTGCTAAGTGGTATCCATGGATCTTCCACGTTGAACGAATGGCAAATGTCATTTCCATTTGAAAAATGAGATTTTGTTGTTAAGCACAAAAACATATTTTGTTCCAGTCTCGCACAAAACGGAAACGCGGAACTACACTGGAACTAGAGTTTCAATCTAGACACTGCATTCGAAGTGCCCACTTTAATGAATTCTTCACCGTTTCGAAGAGCTTTGTTCGCTGTTTTGAAATCCATCACTATCGCTTGCACTCCGACTTGTGCGTTTTTGGAGCAAGGCAACAAAATCTAGGTGAAATCAATTGTTACGGTTTTTAGCGCTCAATTAAAGCAGTGTCGAGCATCACCTGTCACCTGTATCCCCGCTGATCATCGTGTTGCACGAGCGGGTACCAGTGATGCCTCCATTCGCCCCTGTCTCGGGCGATTGTTGACCAGTGTTTACGTATCACCAGGAACACGTGGAACGCTCTGAAGGCTTCATAAAAGGACTTCGTGAACATATCTGACCATCGCGTCGGCGGTCTTCCTCGTTCGCGTTTGACGTCCAGTGGTATCCAATCTGTTACAGCTCTCGTCCACCGGTTGTCGTTGAAACGCATTACGTGCCCGGCCCATCTTATCTTGCTCTGCTTGGCGCACGCAGGCAGCAGCGTCCCTGATCTTCGATCGCTGACGTGGGGTGAAACTTCGTAATCCTTGCCTCACTTGCCTCAAGTGAGGCAAGGATTACGAAGTTAAGCAGCATAAGTAAGCATAAGTATATAAAATAGAAACCATTCTGGACCATATATTTTCAACTGCTGTGTGTTCAATTTTTGATCTAAGACGCTCATGAGGCCTTCAAAGGCGTTTGACAGGCAAAAAGAGAGAGCTCCGCGTTCAAAGCTTCTCAGAACATATAAGGAAATCATGCATATTGAGTTTTTTTAGTTGCATCTCTAACTCTTCGGAAGAGATGAACTGCAGAAGCACTTTTTCTTCGGGAGCATCGTTGGATATTCGTGCTTCATGCTATTTCCTAAAGATCATCCACGCTCTACTTATCCTTGCTCGTGATTTTCATAACAATAATCATATCCGAATATTACAGGAGCGATCGCAAAACTGAAAAAAAAGAAGTACAAATTTAAAATGTTCCATTGGGTTTCCGACTGTTCCGTTTTCTACTTCAGTTAACGTATCTTTCTCTTCATATCTCACTAGATAAGCTTCAACTTTTTTAGTCAGCAGAGTTTCAAAGACCCAAAAGTATGTCCGTGCTCGGCCGTTCTGGGAGACGAATTCGAAACGTAAAAACGTACTATGATCGGCGTTGTGGTAGCAACAAATGCGCATTATCGCTGCCGAGCGCGACACGAGTCGCGAGTCCACGAACTTCCAGGTTGCTTAAACCGGCGACAGGAACAAATGTTTTTGTTAGACTTCGTGAAGATTGCCGCACATCTTCAATGGAAGGAAGCAGAGTAAGACACCGTGGAACACTTCCTCATGTTTGTAGCAAGTGTTAGAAGTTTGTGGCACTGCGTTGATGTTCAGAAACTCGCATATAACTTTTGCAATTTACAAATCACCGTCATGAATCGCGTGCTTTCTTTTGCAGCTTGTTCAGTGTTATGACTCAGTTTCAGTGACTTTGAAATTGCGAAAACGTAAGTCCAAATATTTCTTCTGAGAAATCGGCACGCTGCGAAGTCCAAAGGAGCGCTTAAAACGTACAACCCTTCTTTCATTTTCTTAAGGACACCTTGCATTCTGGTGATTTTCGGGTTGAGTTGAAATTTGACACTCAAAAACTCGCAGGTTCCAGCCTTTCGCAGTGACTGTGAAGGTTGGTTCACTGTCAAGATGTCAGGCTTCTTCACATAATTCTAGTTTGAAGCAGACAAATTGCGCTTCCGAGAAGAATGCTTCTACTCAGGATAGAAAAACGAGTAGCCGTTAGGCGCCCTTCTGCCCAATCACTGGTCTTTTCACCACCCACTCATACATGTGAAGATCAGTAGTCCGCGGAGGCAAGACCAACGGTGAATTTCGTTCTTCTACCCAACTTATAATCCAAACAGCTTTCAATTGATGCGCGCATTTGGTGGGAACCAAGTGTCGTAGGCGATAGTGGTGTCGATAATAATTTATCCACAGACGAACCCGGTGTTGAACCGGGGGAGCAACCTATAATACAATCGGCTCCTTATATAGGTAGTAAGGCGGAGCTGACCCGTGCACAAACGGAATGTCCACGAAATATATGCAAGAAAGAGGATGCCGCGGCTTGGCGCAGCTCCTGGAAGATAGGTGCCACTCATTGGTGAGTGATTCGGCACTTAAATATAAGCGATTGGGGAATATAGCCTATGGGGAATACCCGTAAGCTATTAGGATTATAGAATTGTCGAGGTTGATGATACATAAATCATCAACACTCCGGACGAGCAAGAAGGAGGCGAAATCTGTTGAGATGTAAACAAATAAATACAATCAAAACCTCCTAACAGCATTTGTACTTAGAAATTGAGATATAGGTGTGTTCATAAGTGTAAGCTATTAGATTGGTTGTCGAAGTTGATGATTCATAGATCATCAACCGGGCGAGCAAGCAAGAAGTTAATCTGGTAAGCACAAGATACAAATGCATAGATTTGTATAGACTTAGACATACTTATGGGAGCTACAGACAGAAGAGAATTTACGGTGATTAATTGTAGTGGTTGGTGGTTGCTGTTCCGTGGTGTAGCTTCGCCTTTCGTCGTCGTCTCTTCTTCCTCGTCGGTTCTGCCCTCGTCGATTTTGAGTTGACAGAATCGTTATCGGTGATTGTCTTCGTGATATCCGTGATTTCCGTCATCAGATGTCTGTGATGTGTGATCTTCGGCATGTCCGTCATCTTTATGTTAGTTTGTAACGTCGGTCGCAGTGTTCTGGCAAGAGTTCCATTCGCAATCCTCGTGTTGGAGCTGGAAGTAGAGCCTTATATGCAGCCAATTTTGGCCAGCCAGCGTTGTCTGTCTGTCTTAGCTTTGCGGTTGAAAGCAGCTTTCCGCCTTTTCCTCTTTTTTGGTAACAACTTCGTTGCCTTTTGAGATGTTACTTCAGCATGCGCTTGGAGAATTCTCCTGTTGATTGCATGTGTACTGCTTTCGTTGAAATTGGTGCCCGTTTTCTTCGTCGTCAGCCATTTGACGTGTCGTTGAGGGTGAAGGGCGGATTTGGAGGCTTTCTGCATCGTTGATGTACAACCAAAAGTGCCAACGATCTCTGTGCTCACGTTGGTACGGCTTGTACCGGATATGACATATCCGAAGATGGTTGGGGTTAAGACGAGCCCCGAAGGAAGCTTGAGCACTGTTTCGGTGTGAACAGTGATGAAGTTGAGAAGATCTTGTCCAGTAATGAGTTCAGGCAAGACGCTTTTATGAGTGAGCGTATCTTGAGCTATCTTCAAGTTCTTATTGGAAATGAACTGTCTGCATCTGTGAGATGTGCCGTATGTAGATTGGCAGTCAGCTTGTCCTTCGTGTGCACTGATATCTTCTTAAGCTTCTTTGCGTTGTGAAAGCTTTTCAGAGTAATTCGTACTTCATTGGAACTGAATGTCTCATTCAATTCTCCCATTCCTGATGTGATGAATGACGTCGTTTGGCTGACAGGCAGCTTGAGCTCTTCACTAAGTTTTGATTTGACAAAGCTTCGCTGGACGCCGGAGTCAATCAGTAGTGTTGTGGGTTGATAATCCCAATGTTCCTCGTTGAATATCATTGCCGACGCTATTTGTAGTACGCTTTGGCGCACGACGGGTAGTTCTTTGCTTGAGCTGCAGACTTCGTTTCCATAAGACGGGCTTCGTGCAACGTGTGATTCATTTGCTTTTCGATGATCTGAGTTGGTTCTTCGCTGCATCCTAGAGACTTGCGAGGCTGGCTCGTGGGAAATGGAAATTGCTCGAGATTTCCTCTCTCCTCTTCCCATTCCGAATCATTATCTGTGTCCTGATGGCCGCTCGTATGTGAGGTGATTGGAAGCAGTATCTTCATCGTTAGTGCGGTCGTTTCCCGAAGAAAGATGATGTTGTCGATTGAGTCTAGAATCTCGGAAACATCGAAGTGATCGCCACATACGGATTCCTTCTGTATGACGGTTGCACAGATATCTTCAGGAAATTTGGACAGAATCATTTTGCGCCAAATTCTGTCTTCTCATCTTCATTCCAGTTTGTTCCAGGTGGATGATCCGTGAATTGATTGCTTCGAACGTTTCTCGGCAACTTTCTGGACTACCTTTTGCTCTATGAAGTCATTCGATTTCGTTGATGAGTATCTGCCATGTTGGCAGACCGGTCAAAGTGCTTCTTCAAGATATCTATGGCCGTCTTGTACTTGTCTCCAACGACGGGGATGTAGTTCAGAGCCGCAGCAGCTTTTCCTTTGAGAGCCTGCTTTAAAAAAAGGAATTTGTAGCCATCTGATAAGTCTTCATTGCGTGTATGAGTGATTCGAACACTGTCCAAGAACTGTTGAATTCTCTGAAGTTGCCTTTCTAGAAGCGGTTTCCGGAGTTTGATCTGGCGTTCACTTCGTTCCGTTGTTGAGCGTCTTCCTATCTCGCTTACTGGCTGACTAGGAATACTGGGAGCAGACATATGCAAAAGCGTCGTTTGCTTCCTCAGTTCGTGTTGTCTAAACTGTATACGGCTTTGCCATTGAACTGCCATTACTTCTAGATCCAGTCGAGCTCCAAATGCTTGCTAAGTTCAACCATCAGCTTTTTTCGTTCTTTTTCTTCACTGCGTGCATTGATGTACTGGCAGTGTTGAGCTGTGTTTCATGCAACTTCACAGCGTTTTGCAAAGAATTGAGGAGGTTTGTTATTACTCCTGTCTTTTCTTTGATATATTCTTCACATTCCGCCTTTGTTGTTGAAAATGTGAAGGGAACGTCTACGTTCTCCACTTCGGACTCGTAGGATTTCACGAGCTTGCAAGCGTTGTTGATTTTGTGCTTGAAGAGTTGAAGAGCGGCCACTTTCGCTCTACCGTCTATTTTCTTCTCGTCCTTAGACAGCTGGTTGCTTTGTTGTGTCTTTGAATGTACAAGTTAGCTGGTTTCGCAGACTTGTAGGCGTTTCTTCTGATGATCCGTCAAGTAGAGGCAGCTGAGTGCTGATCTCTGATTTGCAAGCGTGCCTGGTTGGCTTGAACGCTGTGCTGACTGGTAAGGTGGTTTGGACCTTGACCAGATAGGGATTGGGTTTCAATCAGTGCAGTGGCTCGGCAAATCTCAACCTAGTCAAATTTGCGCTTACCTGGGGTTTTTCAATACGCTGATCCCGAAAATCCACTTTTGAAAGCTTGAAAACGACGAAAATGAGCGTTTTTTAATGCCCTTCCCTTTGATTTTGGACGAGTGGAGCACGGCCGATGCTAAATCGTGGCAGGACCCAATGGTTATAGCGTTGCGGCGGGCAGCCTCCAATGGCGAAAAGGAAACTGCTAAGTCGTCCAGATGCGTGTAAGATTGGCCTACGCGTGTAAGTTCGAGAGCGATTTTCTCGGCAGGGAAAGCATGCTGTGCAACCGGGATTGCCCTGTTTTCATAGTTGGGCGATAAGGAGCCTACCGCGTTAAAATTGCGAGCTGTTGGATTTTGCCGATCCACTACCTTTAAGTCAAGAGTTCTTGGTCGAACTTTGACTTTTTTGGCAAACTGAGCTCCTGCGACTCAAGTTGCCTTCCTTTCAAGTCTCAATGTACTAATCGCCAGTCCTTGATGGGATTCGCGAGAGATCTATGAGATTGATTGGAAAATTGCACCCACAAAAATCTGTTCCGCTCTCTGGATCACTTACGAAAAGGATTCGCAGAAAGTTTCACGGTCTTATGTGGTTATGTGCTGCACTCACAAAATTTGTTCCACTCTCTGGATCGCTTACGGAAAGGATACACAGAAAGTTTCACGTATTAGTGTGATTATGTGCTCCACTTGACTACTCTTTCACTTTCTGGTTCGCTTACGAAAAGGATGCACAGAAAGTTTCTAAGTTGCCTGTGGCTGTGTGGTAACACTGATTCTTTCCCACTCTCTGGTTCGCTTACGAAAAGGATGCACAGAGAGTTTTCAAGAAAAAGTTCACACGACCGACTGATTTTTCCTACACCTCTCTGGATCACTTACGAAAAGGATGCACAGAGATTTTCAGATAGTCAGTGGTATTCCTTCCGATTCCTCTTACACCTCATTAGATCGCTTACGAAAAGGATACACAAAGATTTTCAGATAGTCGGTTGGTTCTTCTTCCTGCCACGCGGGTCTTGTGGCCTCGATTCCTCCGGTTGCAGATAGAATACGAGGTAGCTTCACTGGTCGATGCACCAATTTGGTGGGAACCAAGTGTCGTAGGCGATAGTGGTGTTGATAATAATTTATCCACACACGAACCCGGTGTTGAACCGGTGGAGCAACCTATAATACAATCGGGGGCTCCTTAAATGGGTAGTAAGGCGGAGCTGACCCGTGCACAAACGGAATGTCCACGAAATATATGCAAGAAAGAGGATGCCGCGGCTTGGCGCAGCTCCTGGAAGATAGATGCCACTCATTGGTGAGTGATTCGGCACTTAAATATAAGCGATTGGGGAATATAGCCTATGGGGAATACCCGTAAGCTATTAGGATTATAGAAATGTTAAGGTTGATGATACATAAATCATCAACAGCATAAGCGCATAGTTCATTGAATGTTGCAATCAAACAAAAAGAAGTTAACAAAAAAAACGCGTCGTTCTTTGAAGGATGACAAGATAAAAACACACATCCGATGATATTTTTAAATAATGCAACCACGTCCTATCTACGGTCAGTGAAGTACCTAATTTTTGACACATAGTTTAAGAACAATGCCTAGAAAATGGTTAGCAGATTGAAACTCGTACATAATAAAGAGATAGCTGACTTATGGGGCAGATTTGGCCGAGAGGTTAGTGCCCCTGACTACAGCGAGGAAGGTCGCGGGTTCAGATACGCCCTATCTAATTCTTTGGCAAAGCTTTGCCCACGGACCCAGTCAGTTGTTCACCCCAATGGAAGCAAGCCGGCTGAAGAACAAACCCGTCGCATCACAAATGCTCTTTATCTCATCTGGATCTTCTATTAGAAGCTAGGGCGTTCCCCGAAGGCGACGCGCATTTGAGCCCGATAAATGCGAGCATATGCGAGGGTTATCGTCGCAACAAGATGGATGGGGACGGCTAAAGAAGCTAGTTCATCAACGAATACGAACAACGACACAAGTTCTCGGATACGCTTCGACTGCCAACTATTGATGTAGAATCTCTCACAGAACGACATCGAGAACTGGTCGATCTTCCCAGAAGATGTAGAGTGGACATCGCCTGCATTGAAGAAACCAGATGGAAAGGTGAAAGGTCACGCGAAATAGGAGATAGGATAGTCGTCTCAGAAAGTTTAAGAGATGGGATTACGGGATTGGATCAAGTAAACGACCGAATCATGAGCAATAGGTTAGGTGCCTGAAAGAAAATCCTGCAAGTAGTCACTGCCTACGCACCCCAAGCAGACTGCACTGAAGAGGAGAAAGACGGGTTCTGGCAAGAATTTGACGACCGCAATAGATCACTATATTCGGACGAGACACTGTTGATTGGAGCAGTGGAGAAGATCTTAACGATCATGTCGGTGAACAAGGAAGTGGAGCAAGTAAATAACTGTCACGGAAGCCACGGATATGGGATCCGTAACGACAGAGGGGGAGCGCATTCTAAAGTTCAAAACTGCCCATGACTTGACGTTGGCAAGTACACAGATCATCAAGAAGAACAACCATCTCGCAACCTCTGCCAACGGAGATTGTAAGTCACAAATAGATTTCTGGGTTGTGCGACAAAGAGAGCTCAAGTATTGAAGAATAGCAAAGTTATCCCGGTCAAAATGGTAACATAACTTCGGCCGCTGATTTTGGATCTGAACATCCCGGTCAAGACACGAAGAAAGACAACGACGGAGTATAGGACACGCATCAAGTGGTTGAAGCTCAATGGCAACGCTCAAAGCAAAGCAGCCACGGAGCTTGCTCTACTAGACATGCAAGAGGAACCGGAGTGGTCCTGAACGAAGCTGAAGAACAACGTTCATCTGATGGCAGAAAGTCTAATCTGATCTACTGAGACGTACGAAACCAGGACGGCAAAGACTTGATAAGGAAACTTGGTGGTGGAATGAGACCGTTCAATCTCTGATCAAGCAAAAGAAGATGGCGTAGAAGTTGTAGCAGGGAACAGGATCAGAATACGATCATCAGAAGTACTTTTGGAGGCGAAGCGTAAAGTAAAGAAGTATGTCAAAGAAGCTAAAGAAGCATATGTACAGGAAACTGCACCGCACGAAGGGAAGCGAGAGATATGTCGTATCGCAAGAAAGAACAAACGCCACAAAGATATGGAGCACTTTTACACCAACAAGACAAGCAGAAAGTGCTGAGAAGAGCACAAGAGATAAACGAGAGATGGAGAACACACTTCGCAGAAATGGCATCCATGAGCCACACTATTCATCGACGACTACAGCTGATCCTGTATATGGGCCGGTACGACGATTACGGAAGAGGAAGTCCGTATCGCCATAAGCAAGACCAAGAACGGGGAGGCGACAGCTCCAGACACATCTCCGATTCACAAAGGGAAGACCCCGCCCTCCCGATGATTTTCCCTCTTGTGTTAAAGCTCTTTTTCGCCGTTTGCTCTCTAGTGTATGTAGGTTCCTTGATAGAGCATAGCGAATATGCCCAGGTAAGCACACAATCTCAAAAGCGATTTTTGCCCGGACACTGCCTTTGAGTGAATTGGAGTGGATATCTCTCAAAACAGAAGAAAACGTCCTGAGGACTACGAACGAAACCAGCACGCATTTGTGGGACGGAGGGACGCTGGGTACGACTCTTTATCTGGTTCTCTTTCAACCCCCCCCCCCCTCGCCCGCCGTTCAAACACAAATTTGCCCACCACTACCGTAATCACGTCCAATGTGCGCACAAGGAACGTCTGCTTTCTCTTCATCTATACTCTAGTTAGTATAGCTTTTCGATATCTCATCGGTTATCGTTGCATTCATCATGAAAACTATTTTAGAAGAATATGGAAAGCACAAAAGCGGTTGTTCCCGGTGATACTTTGTACGAAGCCAAGTAAGACAGTTAAGGACTTGTCTGAATTTTTCTTTATATAAAATCAGTGGTAGGCTCTCGTAACTAATTTTCATGTAAAATAGGGAAGGATACGAGTGCGGGAGAGGAGTCTACGAACTGAAAGGTTTTATACGGGCAGCGAGAGTTGGTTACGTTTTTGTCAAGGAACAAACATTATCAGGTGTAAGCCCCTATAGATATAGATTTTTCCGTATTGTTGAAGAAACGAGTAGCTCTATGCAGTATCTATATTTCAGGCTAATAAACCTACGAAACTTGTCGAAGTGCTCAATTATGATGGTTCATTCACATACCATGCTCCTTTCATTGGTGCTTTGGTTACTGCAAAAGTGGTAGAGATAGGCGACAAGTGTGTAATACAAAATTTTGTATATATCTCATATCATTTTCACTTGTTCAGGTCAGCAAAGTGCAGTGTATTTCGAATACAAGAAACAAACTTACAACCGGGAGCTACATTCACTGCTTACATACGGAAAGAGGCTATGCGATCGGACATGAAATTGGATGTGAGTTCCTTCTTTTGTGTCTTCGGTACCAAATTCTTTTTCCTCTAGTTCCATTCATACATCTTTAAATTACAGTCTGTGTCAATTATTACGTACTCTTTTTCGCATAGGAACAGGCATGCGCAACGCGAGGACTTTGTGTGCGCACCTCAAATCGATGAGGCCAATTTGAATGCCCAACTCATACGCGCGCCAAAGCGGCGCAAGGCTCAACGTGGCGATTGCGCTTGCGGAAAAGGGAGCACGTGGTTGACACAGACTGTACTTGCTTTCGAGATACCGCGAATGCACAACATACACAAATTCTGGGAATAGGCGCGCCGATAAGCTACAGTCTTTTCAATCCGGAGTAGGCGAAGCATCCCAAGTGGAGCAGCGCGTCAGCACTGCCACTGGCTCAGCCAGATAGATTAGAATGAAAAGACGCAGAGTGCAAAGCGGCGCCAATCGTTGCGAAGCGGACTCCCATCAGTTCATTTTCCACCTAAACTGAGTTGAAACTTACTATACAGACTGGCGGACGCGAAGACGGGAAACTTGGGGACGCGAACGCAGTTCTACTAGCTGCAGAGCGCAGTAGGCACGCGCCATACTTGATCCGCTTGTTCCGCTTCATTCACTTCGCTGGTCAATATGCTGATTTCAATAGCGAAGTGGATGAAGCGAATCAAGTATGGCGTGTGCCTTAGGCGCAGGGTATTAGAACAGTGAGATACCGGTGCGCCGCTCGTTCCCTCACTGGTGTTTTTGCACCTTCTTTCACTAGTAGTCAAACAATGGATAACCACTGGAAAATATATATCCGTTACGATCTTATTGTTAGCGTCTCACCCCTGTAAACTTAATCCTCGCTGCTCTGTGACTCGATTCTCCTGAACGTTTGGTATTTGTAGAATAAAATTATTAGAGTAATAAGTTCGAAGATCCTATTACACTCTCAAATTCCAGCAATTTCGCGTGAGAGACGTTGTTCTTCCGGGAGACTATGTAATAGCTACCGTCAAATCAATGGGAGATTCACACTATCTCCTCTCTATCGCCGATAGCCGTCTCGGTGTAGTAGCTGTAAGAAGTCGAAATGGAAATTCTTGGGTACAGCCTACTGGAAATAACCTATCTTTTCCACGAAAAGTAGCCCTTATACCCAATACTGTGCCTAAACTTGATAGTGTTGCTGTTTCAACAGCTTAGCTGTTGTTGTTATTGTCCCTCATGAATTGTACATAAATGATATCTTTATCAATTTTCAAAAACAAAAACGATAACAAAACCCGTCCTTTTGTATCTGACATTCCCAGTGTGGTAAAGCACATCTGATGTGCAGTTCAATCCGTAACTTTCAACCGGGAGCTTAACACCCGCTCTACTACATTCACCAATTTCCTCTCGCCGTTGTTTCTGGGTCGCACGTCAAGGCAGTTCATTGATAGTTGTGTTTTGGTCACTGCTGATATTCGCAGCAAAAGCATCGATACCAGCGGGGCAAGCGATGGAAAAATCTGAATTAATCTTCCAAAAAACATGAAAAAAGACTAGTTGATGGGCTTACAGGTACAATATGTCCTAATGAAGGCGTGATTGCTGTGAACAGTGCGTGGTTACCGGGCATTTGGGCATATTTCAATAAGGTATTGAGTACATCCACCACTAGATTCAGTGATGCGGCAGATTCAGTCAACCGATACTGAAAATACGCCAGATTTGCATCAGCACGAATCCTCATATGCAACACACATACAAAAGGCCCTTCTTACCTTTCTTCCCACTTCGGCCATGAGACATACAGCAAAGATTCTTCTTTTCAAATCTGGCAAAGCCAACATTTCTTGTATGAATTCTGTGGCAACAAACATCGATGGAACATGCTTCACAAGTGGTCGAATCATTTCTATGGGCCATGTCTGCAGTGGCACCGAGTATAGTATAGGCTCAAAATCGAAAAAAGAAACAAACCTGGAAAAGAACAAGTTTCATCAGATTCTTATCCTGAATGAACATTTGGTGGATGAAATTACATGCCAATTTCATCACTTCGCATCTTCGAGCAACAGCAGCACTATCTCTTATATCTGAAATTTTGAAGATGTTTGAGAAGGTAGGCAACTATCGGTTTATCTCCACTAAAAAATACGGGGTTGAACCAATGATATGTTGATGGCTTCCCCTCATACTCTTTTCGAAATGTAAACGGAAGGGGTCATGACCTCTGAAAAAAATAGTAAAAATACAACGCTGAACTTACCGTCCTTCATCCTCCGGACATCGCTCACTTCAATCAGGGTCTGAATGAGAATGGAAGTTTGCGAATGATCAAAAGCGTGAGTGAGCACGTCTCGCGAAGCACGATCTTCCTCACTGCTGAAAACACCCGATTCGTTTACGACCTTCAAAATTTATTATAAAAACTAACTTTACTGGCGGTGCGTTTTGTAACTGAGACATTAAGTCTATGCGGCAAGCTTGATCATAAAATGCTACAATTTTGAGGAAGCATGAAAAATGCATAGGAGAAGAGAGAATCCTCCTAGAAGATGGCGATGGCTTCACACAAAAAAGGTATAATTATTTACCTGTCACATCTAAATAAAAGGCATGGATGTTTGTAACATTGATCGGACGTCACAGATGTACACCAGGCAGATATACAGTACTGAAACAAAGCAAAGCCGCTATTGAAAAAGTTTGATATTCGACGCAAAGTATGGAAAACCTACCTCATATAACATCCTGGGAATAACATTTTCCAAACGGTTCCAAACTCGCACAATTAGTTCCACATAAGATTGTGGCGTATTTTCGAGAGAAAATATGAATGCGCGAGTAATGCAGGGCATCAAGCGCACCGAAAATATAGAAAAGATGAGATTCAGAAAAAAACAGAATCTCATAAACTGCCAGTGGAACCACAATTAAAAAATAACACAAATTTTCGTATACACAACAACTTATCATCGTTAAGAGATTAACCCACTTGGTCCGTCAGTGGTGCATTATGCAGCTTCTGAGCAGCCTTCATACACACAGCGATATCTTTACTGCACAAATCATTCTCAAACTGGAAATAATTGATTTCTCGTGCGTAAAGAAACCCGGAAGTGATAATGCGTACCTCTTGCACAGACTCTGTCATTGGTACACCCATAAAACGTGACTTAGCAATCTTCAAGCTTGTTACTGTGGGTAACATATGTGGGAAAAGATCCGTAGTCAGACGAATCTCAACAAAAAATTGATAAACCTGATTTAGAAGTGAAAATCAAAACTCACCAGATGACATCTAATCTTAGAAAAGCTATCATAACGAGTTTCCATGACACTCAGTAAGTGTCTGATGGGCAGGCGAGTGTAGATCGAATTTGGATACATCTGAATTGAACAACTGACTAATGTTCAAAGCTGAAAGACCGGAGGATTACATCTTCATTTTTTAATGCGTTCTTCTTAGTTTTGTAGCAGAGAAGGTATAGCAAAGTTACTATGCGAACAATGATTTTTGAATCATCCAGAAGTTCACCAGAGAAGATGTTCTGAAGATGATTAATACTTGTTCACGGTCAACTTATTCAAGGTGTGATTCTAAATACCTCTACGAACTGCGGTGAAAGTCCTGCAACATTTTTCTGTGCAGCTTCAATGGCAAAGCGTATTGTCAAATCGGGTAGTTGTGGATGTATAGGTAGGGCGAGTTCTACTAGCTGCTTTTCCATCCATGACTAAATTACAAATTGTTTTTTTCAGTAAGATGAAGAATGTAGTCCACATGATTTACTTACGCTGATATCCACATTATACTTTGTGAAAGCATTTGCCGTCATAAGTTCAGCCATGGCATGAATGGGTAGTCTATTCCCAGAGGAAGCGGACAATGAACGTGTGATTGGCAATGTAGCGCATCTCAAAAAAGAATCTTTAGTGAAACGCAGTGAAAGTCGATTTTTCAAAATTTATCAAAGAAAACATACCTGATAGTGAGATCTGCTTCTGATAAACATGAACTCGTGAATAGAGTCTTCCACTGATCCAGTTGCCTTTGGTGGATAAAAACCTGAAATGAAAATAATGCAGAGTATTCGACTATGGCGGAAATTATTGCGGAATATCTAAGTCTCTGACAACCCATTATTTGGTCGCATTAAAGGGGAGTTGAGAAGAAGAGAACAATAATTTGAGTGCATAGGCACCTTATTTCGTTTGTAGTGTCGCCGACTCGAGCGGCTAGAATTCCGCGCAACCCGCTAGGGCTTCCACCGCGTTCGCGAACCTATCCTCTGATCATTTTCTCAAGCTTGAGCAGTGATTGAAGCTCTCTGCATTTGCCAGTTCTTGCGGGGAAGATGATCAGTGGAGACCTTCGCGAACAAGATGGATCCAAGCGACGCGGACGCGGAACTCGAGCCACGTATTCGGCGACACTATCAATGAGACAGATAGACTTGCTTCCGTGCAAGTGCATCAATTATGCACTACCTTTTGTAATCGTAATGTTTCCGCAAAATAGGCACAAAGTGCCTCCGAACGTCCGCCAGCAATACCTAGACCGACATAAAGGAGATCACTGGCCAACGCAGGACGAGCGCCATTTTCGGTCTGCGTTTTCAGCCATTCCAGCCATGAGGAAATGTGCGGTTCCACTTGATAACTTAGTGCCACAGGAACGCTCATCGAACTGCAAAACACATCACCTATCGTCTCTCCACAACTGCTGCCACGCCCGCTCTGTGCCTATATTCTGCGACACACAACGGCTAACATATTAGCAACATGCAAAGTGCTGGGAAAGCGTTTTGGCTATAAGACTCAACGCTAACATGTTGCATGTTGCCAATACGTTGGTGCATGTTGCTAATATAAATACTAGCCATACGTGCCGCAGATCATAGACGCGGAGCAGGGAAAGCAGCAATTCTGGGAGAGACATGCTGATTTGAGTCAAAAAAATGATGAAAATTACAATGCTAGTGTCGGCGAAGCAATCAGAGCCGCCAATGCAGCAATAAGATGACCATCGCATTGTATACGCTCACGGCATATGAAAGTAGTGATGAGAGTAAGATCTGATGGTGGCAGCTTCAAGCCGCAGCGATGATACAAGCAAATCATAGACAGCAACAATTCTGTCATGGGTTCAGTAGATTGTCTAAATTCCGCTAATTGTAAAAATATGATCATTTTTGAATAAAATGCCAACTTACGCGCTCACAGCAGCTCCAATCATAGTCAACAAACGGTTCAAAACAACAGCGGCGGTATGCTTAGCAGCACTCTTCCCAATAAGCGACGATATTAGCCCTTTCTTATCCAATAAATGTACTCGAAGAAAGTTGCAAACCTGCAAGTCTGATAATAGGCCGCCTTATTCAAGGGGAGAAAGCTCTGCTTACAGCCTTGTCATCTAATCTTTCGCAAACCACTCGTGTGGCAAACATGCAGTCCTTTCGAGTTTCAGCCATGCGATTGAGGATAGAATGAGAAAGTGGAGGATTGAGTGCCACCAACTGAATATGACGGCATACGACAAACAGAAATAGAAGAAAAATCCAACTAACATTCGTGATGGTTGTGAGACGCGCACCAGAGATGACTTGATCAGAAGGTGCCATGTCTAGCAAATGGGATAGCAATGGTAGGTAAAGTTCCGCAATATTTGCAGCAGCCTTAAGACACAAGTGTTCATGAATTTCGAAGCTATCATAAAACTGAACATATCAAGGAAAAAATAGCATCAATGAGGGTAGTACCTTATCGAAGTTGTGGAAAGCTTCTGCATCATAATGTGAACCTAAACAGTGAAACTTGCTTGAGTAAGTATGTCTGGTCCATCTTTGAACAGAAGCAACTTCGAAACGAGATCTTCGATTGAAATGATGTTTGGCATATTGAGGAGGATTAGCGATAACAACCATCCTAGCTCTTCGACATTTTCTTCGCATAAACATGCCAAAAGCCATTCCTCTTGATTTGTAGAACTATCTGCAACACACATGCTATTATGCGCAGTACCGTGACCTCCCGTAATCGCTATAGCTGTTTCAAGGACGCAGACAGTGCAAAAATTGCGGTCATAACGCGGCGCGGTCCCAGTCGCTTATGCAACATCGCCGCAACTGTACGTTTTTCACACCATCTGAAGACAATCCAAACTACAAATACCTTTTTGGAGAGCTCGACAAAGCATTGTGATCTTTTGTGCAGGTCCCAAACTAGCAAATCCGTCGCTTCCTTCTGCCTTTGACAAGAATACAATGTCGTTTTCAACGCATCGGTAATCTAACGTCAGATAAGCCATGAGCCCATTTTCCGTTGCCAATGAGCAGATTTTCGAAAGGAACGCATTCTGAATTTGTTGATATAGATATCACTGGATTTCAGTGAATGTTAGGAGAACTCACGGATGTGCTCAATGAAGGATGTGCAAGACAAGTAGTGAGAAGAGGAAGAAATGGTAACAGCTCTTCATCTGTGAAAGCGTCGCCCACTTCCATCAGAGAGCCATCGACGATGGAGCAGTAGACCCGGGCATGCTCTTCCCATTTGACTGTCATTGCCTGAGCACTGATATAAAATAACGTTAAAAATCAAACATCGATTGTTGAGTATGAATATAAACGTGACGAATACATGAGCCACATTAATTGCTTTGCTCGCAGAGTGCAATAAATCTAGAGCGGATTCATGGAAAAAGCGGGTGACTGTTTTTCGCCGCAGGTGATTGTGCTGTTGCGGACGCGCTGCAGCGCGCGCACATGAACACCGCGGTGAAGTTTGCCGATCCCAAATACGGTGTATGCGATCCCAAATATTGTGTACGCTTCCTTTCGCGCGCCGTGGTTACAGTCTCAAGTTCTCTCTGGACCCGAACCGAATTAGTGGAGATATCAAATGCGGCCATGTTCACTTTGCTTGAGATGTTTTCGAGCGATCATGGAGGCTTGCGCATGTCCCATGGCGAGTACAGCGTTTAGATTCCAGATTGGATCCGGATCCACTCCAGGTCAAAGGCGACCTAGACCTCATCCGAAGGGAGATACGGGAGATATACATCGCACTTATGTCAAATAAGGCACCAGCCCCCCTAAAGCGCATAAAAAATTTGTGCTACTAGGACGTTTGTCATGACCGACAAATAATACGACCTTGACCACAAACTACAACATTAGACAGACAAGCTCCGAAATCAGATATCAAAGGCACCGTCCACCCCAAGTTAGGAGTTTCGAGTTTTTGGCAGGTTACGATAGTAGGACTCCCTATCAAGCCAGTGCCCAAGTCGCTGCGCAAAATATCGCTTTGGAAGCAAGAAAATCGCTTCGGAATAGCGAAGAGGCATGAAGACCCCAAGTCGGCACCGCCTCTCTCCAGTAATACCCGCCCAACCGTGCGCGCCCATCCAATCATCGTTCCGAAGAACCGGCCTGCAGGTTCATCGGAACGGGGATTGTCGGATCTTTCGTTTGTTCCTGCGATATTCGGACTAGAACACGGAAATCGAGAATATGGGGGGAACGATGCCTTCAAGTGAGGAGAAGACATTCCTGCACAGCTGATGCCCAGCAAATTGTCCGCAAGTTTTCGTCACGCGAATGGACGCCACTTTGCACCGCTTATGTGCTTGCTCAGCTGAAAAACAGATGACTTCAGAATTCCGGTTCTTGATTCCCTAGCCTGTCTATAAGTGGCGATTGATAGTCCTCAGAATGAACTTTCAACTTTCATAGTAATACTCGAGATGCATTGGTCTGAAGTAGGATATTTTTGCACCGGAAGTGCAATTTTGTTGTTTTCAGTCAATTTCGTATTTATCGTATTTCCTATTTGTTTATGCTGACTTTAGTGCACTTCTTTTATTTTATTTTTGCAGAGTTTTTTCTTATAAACACTACTCAATGGACTGTTGATCTACTAACATTATTCAACAATGGTGGACACTTATCTCACGTTTGAGCCTTCATTCTGGGAGCTGCAGGATAACACACTTCTGGAAACTGATCATCCCATCTTCTTGCTTGGCAAAAAGTTCGATAAGGAGGCAGGTGGGGTCATGGACGATTAATGCTGTTTTTAATTGGTTTCGTGACTACATCTAGACCCAGTCATGCAGAAAAGCTCTAGATAGCTTTACTTGTATTCTTTTTTTTCTCTCGATCGCCTTTGATTTTTTTTATTGGACGTCATCGTACAAATAGTATCGCATCTGGGGATGGGAAGCTGCTTGTATGGGCTGTTCATCGCAATGAACCCCTTTGCGTCCGAATGAGATAGTTTGTGAGAGGCAGGAGGATAGAGGAATGAGGGACCCGTCATACTTCGCCGAAAAAAGTCCAAAAGCGCCGGAAAAAGCCCAAAAAAGCCCGAAAGCGCCAGAAGGAGCCGGAATGTAGAAACGAACTTTTGGTAGAATTCTGACATTATCTTATCATGCGGACAACAGAAAATGACAAAAAGGTTCGATTGCGAAGTAAACACACATGCCTTAGCGCCAAAACGTGCGAGAAGTGTTCCGGCTCTTTCTGGCGCTTTTGGGCTCTTTTGGGCTTTTTCGGGCTTTTTTGGGCTTTTTCGGGCTTTTTTGGGCTTTTTTCGGCGAAGTATGACGGGTCCCTGAAAGTGTGTTTACTTGAGAGGCGCCAGCAGTTCGCAGTGGCGCCTCTCTGTGTGCGATGAAACGCTTGTAATTTGCTCACAACAAAAGTAATATGCATATTGTAATTCAGCTCTAGTTTCCAACGACAGTCTATATTTGCATTACGAATGCCGTCGGTATACGCGCCTAATGGAACGTCATCAGGCGCGTTATAGCGCAATAAAGCAGGCCCCTCATGAAGAAAAATCGCTGGGTATTAAATTACATGTTTGTCTTCATGGAACTCTCACATGTGTACTTCATGGAAATCTTTAGGATTATTGAATGATTCAATCTCTTTTCGATATTTAGGTATAGACCCCATCAAGAAATATGTTACTTCACGGCTTTGGTTCACTTATAGAAGAAATTTTGCGCCTATAGGTAAAGATTTGTTTTGTTTGTTATCCATTTACCTGTTTATCTATTTAGAAGATGGTCTTTTTTCCCCTAATCGTTTCGAATTTAGTCCTTTCATAAGTACAGTAAAAAACTTTGGTTTGATTAGGTGGCACCGGTCCAGAATCCGACCAAGGTTGGGGATGCATGTTACGTTGTGCGCAAATGCTCCTCAGTGAAGTCCTGCTACGACGGCATATCGGGCGGGACTACGAATGGAAGGAAGGTACTCCTCCTTCAGGCGATTACGAGCGCATTCTTCGAATGTTTTTGGACGAGAAAACAGCTCTATACTCAATCCATCAAATAGGTAAGCAATGAGTAACTTACCCTTCGATTTCCGCAAGAGATGTTCTTTGTTTTAGCACAAATGGGTGTTTCGGAAGGAAAATCGGTAGGGGAGTGGTTTGGACCAAATACCGCAGCTCAGGTAGGTCTTGGCCCTGTGATTTTTTGGGTGTAGGGCGATTCGCACGACCGTAATGCTTTCCATGCAGGACCACCGCCGCGCGCGAAACACCCTGCGGCGGCTTTTGCCTAAGCAAAACAGGGGGAGGAAAGATTTGCGGCGTGCATTACATGTTAAGACAAGTCAAAATCAGGGAGACGCTGGAGACCGTCCGTGCGAAAAGACCGTCTCCCGATTTTTTTGTAGCTTTCTATCTGGTTGACATATATGAATGATCTTCATTTCAGGTTATAAAAAAGCTAGCAGTCTTTGATTCTTGGTCAGGAATTGCTGTTCATGTAGCTCTTGACAACATTCTTGTATCAAGTGACGTACGCACTATAGCTACGTTAGCACCTCCGAAGGATGCCATAAAGCTCATCACAGGTGAAGTTTCAGTAATTATCATGTTTTTTCGTGGGTTTCATTCTTTGAGACTTTGTTATCTTGCATATTAGGAAAGTTCAAAGCCTCGGGCATAGTTCACACGATTTCATCGCCTTGGGATTCTCCCAATCAGACAATTGTTACGAGTCCATTGCATGTCGATCACCTTGCACTTGCTTAAGATAGTTGTTCTGGATTAATTGCGTCCGAAAACTATCACAACCGAATTGCAGGAGAATCGGCAATGGGCGCGTAGATACCAGTTGTTTTGTTGGAAGAATCGCGAGGCAACGGAATCGCGTGAACTATGTCCAAGGCCTAAGGGGGGGGGGGGTTACACTGCTACACTTTTTCCCACTTTTTACGGATTGCACTTGCAGTTGTTGGGACTAATCGCAAGAAAGTTCTGAAATGATTTCTCATCTCTTTGGAAAATTCGCACGTTCTCGACTAGTACGAAAGCTTGTATGCTGCTGAATCTCTACAACTTTATTCGCGTTTTAGAAGAGAAGAATGTTGATGAATCTTACATGACTCTGATGAATGAAACAACTACGTCGGATGATCAGAAATGTGATTGGCGACCTCTACTCTTACTTGTACCTTTGAGGCTGGGACTAACCAGTATAAACCGATGTTACCTTCCTGCTATTGAGGTTCGGTAACTTTTGCCGTTTGGTTTATTTATCTGCATGCGTCTTTCAGAATTATTTCAAACTTGAATCTTGTGTTGGCATCATTGGTGGGCGTCCTAATCACGCTCTATATTTTATTGGAATTGCTGGTGAAAAAGTGAGCTTTTGTCAAGCTGTTTATGATGATTTGTATAGACAAATTTTATAATATCTTGTTTAAGCTTGTATATCTTGATCCACATTATTGTCGCCCTTCAATAATCGAGAAATATGGAAGCACTAGATGGCTTGAGGATGGATTTGAAAGCCTGGAGGTGAGTTTAGGCAGCTCAGTTGTCCGTCAGCATCAGTCTCTGCAAAATTTTTGATGTTTTGATTGTAGAGTGTAGACATTCCTCCTTCGGTTCCTATCAAGGATGAAGATTTGGACGATACAACTTTCCATTGTAAAATGCTGCTTCATATGGATTATGACCAGGTATGGAGAGATAGTGGAAATGTTTCTGCTACTGTGACCTCTTGTACTTGGCCGACGAGAACACTTGGGCCATCCTTCCTAGAATTCTTTCGATGGCAGAAAATCTTGTAGTACTTTTTATGAGTCGTTAGTTAAGCATGCTTCGTGCTGTAAAAATGTTCGAAATTTCAAGGTGTACATTTAAGGTTGATCCCTCGTTAGCGTTAGCATTCTTTTGTGAGTCGGCTGATGCTTTTGAGAGACTAAGTCGGGACTTGCGGGAGGTAACAATTCTCCGATAATTTTGAAAGTATTATAATATTATGTCATTCTAGCATGTTTTCCCTTCCTCAAAACCACCAATCTTCGAGCAGATGGAAACTCGTCCAAAATATTGGCCTCCATTTGAACCGTACACCGGTGTGAAAGCCAAGATTGAGATGAAAGGTATGACCTTTTTTTTCAGATCATTCAACTCTTCATGGAGTTATATCTCACAAAAAATTGACTTCCAGAGTTCGATGATATGTGCGCACCGAATTATGTCATTGATGACGGTTTTGAAGTTCTGGAAGAGACTGAAGATCCACTTACCGATCTAACAGAAGAGGTTTTGGAGAGCTGATGCCAGAGTGGACTTCTCTGAATCAAAATGTGACCGGATCACAAGATATCTTACATTAAAGGAAGAATCTAACTATGAAAGCTTATTAATGCTTACTGCTCATCATATGAATTTGTACTGTCTATACTAACTTTGTTTTATGATTTTCATGCTTGCTATGGCATCTTCGGGTACAAATACATATTCTTATGATGACTTGGTATTTCGAATATCTTTATTACAACTTCGCCGTATGAGCAATCCACATCGGCTAAATATTGAGACAGACTGAATATAAACCTATCTACGTTTTTTGAGGCAGTTTGCATCCATTCACCATTTGCGCTTTCCCTTTACACGATCCTTTGCGTGACATCCAGAGCATGCGTTAAATGGTAAATATATGCACGAAAATAACATGAAAGTCAGATTGGGAAAGCATAATAGCGAGTTGGGTTATCCTTGTTAAAATAATCCCTAAGGGACCTGTCGTACTTCGCCAGAACGTCTCTTTCACTATGGATCTCGCTATACTTGATCCTCTTGATCCGCTTCGTAATGCGAGCGCTCTTACTAGTTTATCACTTGGCGTGGCGTACAGCAAATTTGCGCAACGATACAAAATTTTACTACGCCATGCCAAATGACAAACGGATCAAGTATAGCCTGCCATGGCAACTTTTTACACTGGGTGGTTCTCAGTACCAGAACAAATACATTATCACATTTTGTGCCGTAGTGTTCGATATGGAGAATATTTATTGAGACCAAACTAAAAGACCAATATACTAATGATAGCTTCTTGAACCTGAGGTGTAGAAATAATTGAATGAATGCTTCTTTAACCCGAGTAAGGTAGTACAAACAAATGAGGAAGTAGATGAGGTTCCTTTAACCCGAGCAAGGTGAATGATCGACCTGCTTATCACAGCTGGCCACCGCTTATTTAGGCTTGAGATATACCTGACGATGGGTGGCTATAGCTGACGATAAGACGCTGCGAGCAGCAACGTCTTTTGTGCGTATCGATTGACGCCAGGCGACGCTGCTGCTCCTAGCTACTGCAGCCAACGCGAAACAGACCCGCTATAGCTAGCGATGCTGCGCTGCTCCCAGCTGCTCCCTGCTGCTCCCAGCTGCTCGTTGCTGTTCCTCGCTGCTACGCGATATGAAGCTCACTTTTTGTGAGCTTCTCTCAGCTGCTTCGAGCTGCTAACGCTGATTTTGCTCGGATTTGCCCCTTTTTAACATATTTCTGAACTTCTGAAGCATTTCTAGAGCAGTTTCGACACTGATGAACTATGACAAATTTTCAAGACCGAAACGCAAAATGCATCGATAAGAAAATCGATAAAGAATTGACAAAGTCGACAAAGAATGAAATCTGATCAACTGCGTAATCAAATCAGAGTAACGATGAAAAGCTAAAGGATTTAAACGATTCAGTGGGATATTACCACCACCTCAACAGATTAACGTCTGCTATGACCCAGATAGTTAAGATGTTGCCTCAAGCACACATCAAGGTTCTACTGTGATACTCGCATGTCTGTCAAATGTTTGAAATTTTCTCAGTATATGCAACATTTAGTTTGCCATTTTATGCTTGTTATAAATGAAATTTCTTGATGAAAACAGCACGACTTTTTGGGTCTCATGTTATTTCTCAGTTTTGGTAATCGTCAAGACTTACTTTCCTTAATGATCTAAGCTAAGCGTAGTAGGGGCAAAGCTACTTCGTTCTTGCACCCACAGCGTACCCAGCGCAGCAGCCACAAGCAGCTAAGAGCAGCGCAGACATCAGCGATTCGCCAACACCCGCTATACCTCCATCGTCAGGTATATCTCAAGCCTTAGCAGAGCGAATCGACAAACAAGAAGTTTGGGACAACATGTTTGCCGAGAGCAATTTGCTTTGCTGATTGAATGCGTGAGATCTGCAAGTTTTTCTGCATCCACGGACACATTCGAATTTGTCTCGCGGAAGCAAGTAATGTCTATCATATCGCATGCAGAAGGCTTGAAGTTTTCTTTTAATCTCTTTGCATTGTTTGTCCTCTAAAAATGTCCCCATAGGTACCGCGTCGGCTCGCTGCCTTTCAATCTTTTTGACACGTCTCTTTTTGAGAGACCTTGAATTTGCTGAAATCAACACATTGAAAAGAGCGAAAAGCAGCGAGCTGACGGAAAATAGAACATTCCTAGAGGACAAACCGTATGATGCATCCCCCCCCCCCCCCAGAAGTGTTCTTATGTGAACCACTAACGCTGTTTTTCGATCATTCTAACATGTCAACTTCGAATAAGCCAAGCCATAGATTTGCTGGAGTTAACGTGTTAAAACGGTCGAAAGGCAGCATTCATATGGGAACAATTCTGGGAATGCACCATATGTTCTGTGACGGTGACCATTGATAATTTATCGAGTAGACCTGACATTTTAGAATAGGCTATGCCAGCATATGAGGTCTCTTTGATCACAAGATCACTGGCAAAGGTATGCTGAGTTATTACATCTCACATAATATCTCATACGTTTGTGATTAGGCTGATCTAGTGAAAGCCCTGGTCAGAGCTGGAAACGTGCTGCTCGACAATGGTGCCGTTATAGAAAAAGTGGAATCATTAGGATTTCGAGATCTCCCGTATAAGAGAATCACGAAACAAACACGCGAGCCGGTCTACGCGTCGAAGTTTGTGAGACAAGAAATGTCACATATGCTTTTATTGAGCTTCGTTCCAGCTTCTTCCTCTTTCATGCGCATATGTCAAGAGATGCCAGAGATACGACGAAATCTGTATTGATGCATGATCTGGACATGGTAGTCGGATTTTTCTTTCAATTTTTTGTGATATGATCGAATTTCATGTCCATGTCGCTGTTGTCCCTACTCCACCAGCCGTAAAGGAAAAAGAAAAATGCAATTTAGAAGAGATTCTGAAGCCGCCAGCAGAGCGTAAGGTCAGTGCAGCAGTACTCTATTGTTGAGAGATTAGATTTTCAAAATTTTGCCTTCCTTTTGCGTTTAACGTTTTTTTTTCAAATATTTTTTGTTTCGAGTTGTTTACTACCTTGGCTAATCGTCGACCACGGGGCTTGTTTCTACGCTATTTGTTTCTCCTCTAGTTAGGCAGGCGCCATACTTGATCCGCTTGATCCACTTGATCCGCTTGATCCGCTTCACTATTGGTTAGTTCACTGAATTGATCAATGATGAAGCAGATCAAGCGGATCAAGCGGATCAAGTAGGCGCGTGCCTTAGACAGAATAAAGTATGTAAAAGCTTTACGAAAGGCGCGCACGCTTTGCGCTAGCGCTTTGTCCATCATCAAACAACTATTTATATAGTGTGCTCAGGTTTCTTTCTTTAGGCCGTGAAAGAGCTTCGAGAAAATCAAAAAATGGGACACTTTACACGACAGATGATTTACAAACGAACGGAAAAAGAATGGAAGAGCATTCCAAAAAGTTATCCTATTGCTCCACCTCGGCCGTAGGTCTTACGAATGTGCTATTCACTGATTGCAACTATTTTGTACCAGCACACGTCTGCCTTTCTTCTCAACTTCACTTGTTTATTTTGTCTTGCATTGTGCAACCCACAGACGTGAAATCGTTAATTGTTGCATATATATCGTAGGTTTATGGTAATTTCATGCTCTTTACAGAATCGATTCTAGAATTTCAGTTTTCCCTACCTTAGTCATTATTAGACGTAATAGGTTGTAATCAAGGTCCAAACTGTTTTTCAATTTTCACATATTTTGTTGCACTCGAAACTTGTTTTGTTGAGTTTTTCTTGTAAATCATTATCATTTAATTTCATCATCTGAACATTGGTTCAATCCACCTATCTACGCCTTAGTTTCTTGCTGATCCGTTATGTTTATCTGCGTAGACAATGGGTCACGAAACCACGGGCTCACCTAGAGCAGCAAATGGAGATCGCGTATCTGAAGATCGCCTGTTCCAAGCTTTCTATGACATGGAAGTGAGCATATTTTACATTCACACAAACCTGTGAAATTGCTCGCGTCTGTTTTTTTTTTTGTCTTCCTATTCTCCATATGCTACAGGTTTTCCGCCTGGGCGAATATTACCTAAAGTCCGGACAAATGAGCCCTATTTACATCGATCTTCGTCGCACTTTCAGCAGTCCAAAAACTCTGGTAAGTAGTGCATAGTCACCTAATTGACATTTGATCTTGTGTCCATGGGCTAGCAAATACAACTTTCTTCCTGTTATTTTAGCGCATGGCTGCTCAAGCACTTTGTGACATCACTGTAGAAAAGGGACTACAGTTCGATTATGTTGTTGGAGTTCCATATGCTGCGTTACCGCTTGCGACGGTATGTTAAATACCATGCAGGTCATGTCAAATGATTAGATTTCCAGCATGTTAGCGAGATTTTGGATGTGCCAATGCTAATGAAACGCAAGGAAGCAAAATCTTATGGGACTGGAAAACTTATAGAGGTATTTTATACGTAGTTCTTGCGTTCTTGCAAGTAATTTTTATAGGGAGTGTATAAACCTGGCGGCACGGCCTTGATTGTTGAAGATACTGTGACCAGTGGGGAATCGATCCGCGAAACGGCTGAGACATTGAGGAAAGAAGGACTGAAGGTGACAACCGTTTTGAGTTTACAGCTCTTTTCTAAATTTATTAACAACGTTTCTCGTCAACCTATGAGTTTCTCAGTATGTACTGATGCGAATATGGGTATTTATGCACGGATTGCTACCTTTTTTTCTAATGATTTGGTAATCACATTATGCTGGTAGGTTCAACGAAATGCAAACGAGAATATCATATATACCTGTCAAAATAATGGATGTGTTGGCGTTCAAAATGAGACATAGAAGAATGAGGGGAGCTCTGATGAAAGCTGTCAGAAAAATATAGAAACGAACCCTCGCTCTCATATATGAATCTTTTGATACACTCTATTTGTTTGCAAACTTCGTGGTATCTGAGAAAGATGATACTCTCGCGCTGACATCTTTTTTGTATCTTCTTGCCAAATTGTCGTTCGGAACGTAAATAGGGAGAAGCTTTAGTCTTTTTCTATCCTTTTCACCGCTGAATTAAGAATTTTGTTGTTATTGTGACTAGGCACTTAAGCTGTACTCTAAACTATTTGTAGGTTACTGATGCTGTAGCAGTCCTGGACAGAGAGCAGGGTGCACCTGAGAATCTATCCAGAGCAGAAATAAAGTTCCACTGGTGAGACTACATTCTGCATGGACATTATCATTGAGACATATTTTCAGCATCCTGACTATGGACAAGGTTCTCAATGGTCTTATCAGAAAAAATCAGATTACCGAAGAAAGAAAGCGAGAGATAGTTGAGCATTTAAAAAAGCCTTTCAAAAATTGACAGGAAAGCGGGAAGCTATCGAGTTAGCTTGGGAGCCTCTCTTTCATTTACATTTGACTTTCGCATTTTTTCTTGACTTTCCTACTTTGTTTGTTCTTAGACGAATTGTTGATTTTGTTATGTTAAGTCTATTGAATGTTGAATAATGCTTCTGCATAAGTCTCTCTCCTGTGCCGGGAGGAGGAAAAGTTCGGTTACAGAAGAATCTTCTTGTTCTTTTCATTAGTTACAACACATAGGGTTGGGCTGAAAAACCACCGTCGACACGGGAAGCGTGGTCAGTACTTCCCTATGGGTTCAAATGAATAGTCAAGAAATGTGTGCGGAACTGGCTAATGGTCACTCGCTGTCAATGGGTGGTATTCTGACCCAACCTTTGGAGTCTCTTATCTCGAATTCGACATATCGTTGATATTGTTGATGAGCTCTTTCGTGCCTACATGCCTGTTGAATTAATAATAAAAGATGAACTATTCACGTACCTGCTTGTTATGGTTGTGTTTGATACCGGATGGCTGATGCCTAGATTTTGCTTTCTTTCACTTCTTGTCCAGTTCTACGGAAATTTTGTGACATTTCTCTTGCGTCACATCAGTAAGGTGTGTGAGAGCAAGGGAAACATCCAAAAAAAGAAATAGTCCGCGTCTTAGTGGCCCGTTGCTAGCTTGGGCATGTATTCCGAATACCAGCGCGATGACAATGAAAGAATCGTATCCAAACATTATGCATACAATGACATTTTCGGCATGACTTGCATGATGTGAAGTTCTCTTTTCAGTGAGACCATGACCGCTTCAAGAAGCCTTCGAAACAAAGCGTTACGGACGATTCGTTCTGCAGCGGATGCAATCGCTTACTTTGATGCCAATCGGCGTGTTAGAGGTTATGACATGCAGGTAAGCTACATTTTTCATCAAGCCTCGTGTGGTTCACATTTACCTGGCTAAATTTCGGGACCCTTGAAACCTCATGGCAGTGATTGTCAGATTAAGCCTAACTCCTGTTCCCCCCTCCCAGATCGAGAACTCTTCGATCTGCAAATTTTGAACACTGTGGAATTAATATGCATAAATAGTGTTATCTCTGTTAACACTTGGCGTAGGGGTTACATCTGTATAACAACTAATTTTCACACCTGCACGTGGCAGGTTCTCGTTCATGTGCTTAATGGAGCGGATGTTATTGTCAAAGCAGGGGGACTCTACGAACCTACTTCTACTAGACTCAGGTTCAACGCGCTCATGCTTTATCCTGGAATTGTGATGGCACACGTCTTGCATGTGGATCACAAGACCGTCGAGTGGCTGTCGGGACCGTCGATTCCTCCTGTCGAGTCAAATGCTCTTTCGTCGGCCAAGGTCACGATGACTCTGTTGATCAGGTAAAACGCCACCCACTGATAGATATAATCGAAGGTTCTACTCAGCTTATATTGTTCCTGACCTGTTTAGGTTGCATTTCACTGCACCAATCCGAATCTACTTGCATCTGCCAGCACTGACAAATCCGTCATAATCTGGGATATAAGACAACAGAAGACCCACACTCGTCTCTCCACAAGAGGTTGGGCGAAACTTTTTTAACCGGATAAAAGAAGGCGCTTTAATGTTCTCAACTCTTTTCGATTATTTTCCCGAGGTTGTATTCTCCTTTGATGCAAATTGAGGGAAAATCTTGTGCAAAAGCAAAGGAGTTTGTGGGACATGAAAACCAAGATAAAACAGGACGTCCGCTATCGTAACGACGTTGTGCCGCCGTAACCACACGGTTGCAGGCGGCGGTTCAGATGGCACGCCACAACTTTGCTGTTAAAACATTTGTGAGGCACTGTCATTCGTAATACTTTGTGGAAAGTGGAGGCCAAAGGGCTTTTTTGTATATCCATACAGTATACTCTCAGGTAGAGTGTACTGCATGGTTGTGCAAAAGGACCGTTACAAACTGGCTAGAAAGAACGTGTTCCAGCAGCTAACCTCTACGTTACTTGGTCTCCGTGTGGTCGCTACTTAGTCTACGGTGACAAGGAGGATCGACTGCATGTGATAGATGGAAGATCGCTGAGCACTCTGAAGGTGGGCTCTCCAGTAGGGGCTCCACGCTTATAAATTACTATATTATTTTCAGTCATACGACTCAAAGACTGAAATGAATGAATTTGCATATCATCCTAGTGGAAAATACCTTTTTGTAGCTACGGGGCAAGGACGAATGGAAGTATTCAAGTAAGTTTTGACCGGCGTATTCTGTCACCAAAAAGCGAATACTTGCAGAATGCCCGAATTGGAGCTTGTTCGTACAGTGGCAGCTCATTCCGGTCAATCTAATTGTGTTGCTTTGGCTGTGTCCCCTGATGGACAGCGTGTAGCTGTTGGAGCATCAGATGCTTTGTGTTCGATATGGAGCATTGATGAGATGATGTGTGAGAGGAATTTGGGAAGGTAAATCTTTAGTGGATTTGGGATCGTGTTTCTCTCCAGTCAGCCGTTATAGATTAGACTACCCTGTTCGGGCTGTGGCATTCAGCCATGACAGCCAGCTGATCGCAACGGGAAGCGAAGACCATTCAATAGACATTGCCTATGTTAATGATGGATCTAGGTGAGTCACAGTCGGTGTCCTCCGCAACGCGAGGACCTTGCATGCGAACCTTCATCGATGAGACCAGTTGTACCTAAGCCATACGCGCGAACATGGCGCGAAGCTGTTGCCCTGATGGAATGGGAAAAGGAGTACGCGATTGACACAGACGTGTTCAGCTTTTCTCCTTCAGTGTATCCCCGCTGAACTCTCCTGCTGCTTTTTCCGATCGTGGGAATATCTGGCCAAGATCCTTGTTCGGCCTTCATTCTCATTTTTGCATTTTCAGAGTGCATGAGATTCGTTTGGATGGAGAAGTTTATTCCGTTGCATGGCATCCACAACAATTTATGCTGGCGTTTGCTTCGTCAGGAGATCCTCGTGATCGAGATTCTTTCGGTGTACGATTGTTTGGATATACCAGTTGACCCTTATGCCTTTCTTCTTGGTTATGTCGCAGATAAATGCTGTAGATCTCATTTCACAGTTTTTCGTACTAGAAAGAATCATGCTATCTGCCAATTGCGGGGCCAACCATGCCGGTCAAAATTCAAACTCTAGCTCCGGTACGCAAAATACGAAACAGACAGTTTGAATTCTTATGGCAGAATGGTTTTGCAAATATAAATAGCTGGCAAATTTCTGATGTTCGGAATTGTAGATGAAGTTGAGCTTTCCCTGGAGCTAAAAAATGCGTGTAGAGTGTAGAGCACCGCTGGAAATGAGGTGCAGTACATGATCCTTGTCGAGTACAACCTTCTGAATTTGCTTGATGTCATAGAAAAAAATCTGCTATCAGTAGATTTTTTCATCTCACCCTTTTTCTTTTAGAATGCCTGAAAGCAAGAAGTGTACAAAATTTTGATGCTTAATGTTGGGATTTACCTTGAATTACATAGCATTTTATTTTTTGCTAGTAATTGAGCATCAAGAATCAAAAACCTAACAGTACATTACAGAACCGAAAAGCAATCAGTCGAATAAATCAAATATTTGAAACCAAGTGAGCGAATACCACAGAATCAGAGTTTCGAATTTCGCCAGTAAGCTTTTAGAAATGCGAAAGTTATCGAACAACCTATTAGCAAAAATTATTTGATGTTATAGAGCAAACATGGTTATCCAATGAGTATTATTCAGATGTATACATTATTGTTATGAATATCTAGAAAGGATCCGAAAGCTACTTATTTGAGTTCAAATATTGTGCTAATGGCTTGCTTTTACTTGTGTTTTTATTTGTAAATGATTTATGCAATCTTAGAATTTTCTAAAAATCGAAATTAGTTTTATAAATTTTGGAACGTCCCAAAATTTTTTTCGGACTGCGTGGCTAGTACCGCGCATTTTGTTCGGAGAGAAATTTTGTCCCTCTCCCTCTCTTTGAAGGAATTTTTCGAACCCTATGCTCCTTGATGTCATGTCAACTCCAGCATTTGAAAGCCTTTAGAACGCTGGAACATGTACGTATTAGGTTCTTACATAAGTATTACACTTTCTTCGTCTTCCTCTAACCAACTCTGAAAAATCGGCAATGGGATAAGAGGGAAGGGCTATTTATTGGCATCATTTTCGCCTTCATGGACTGTCTTATTGTGAAGGTAATTCTGACATTTCGACATTTAATTCAGGACATTTCGACTTCCAATTTTTTTCTTTATATCATAAAAATTCTTCCATCCTTCTTTTTCAACTTTTTAGATTTTTCATTGACTTCCGTGTGCAAAAGTAGTAATATGAAAGAAGTATGCATTGAGCTCTACAATAACGCAGGTTGAGAACTTGCCAAAAACAAATGCGAAAAGTACCAAATATTCGAAAGTTGGTTCCTGCGTAATTAGTATATGTTGCAAATACGCAGTCTCCCACGTAATTTGAAGGGGAAAAAATTTTTCCAATTATGAAAATCTCTATCAAGGGTAACAAAACTTATGTAACATCCTAATATTTTTCAATGTTTTCTGAATTTTTCTTCTGGAAAGCGGGGGGGGGGGGTAGAGAGAAAGGGTTTAATGAAAAATTTTTTGATAAAGAGCGTGGCCAAGATATGTCTAAAAATTTTGAAATTTTCTGAAAATATTTTACGATGCTTTCTAAGATTGGGAGAAAATTCTGGAAATTTTTGACCCAAACCCCTAAATCCAAAAAAGCATGACAGCAATTACGTCCCCAAAAAAATGTTTACAAAGCCAATGATACTTTGAAAAGTTTTTTGAATCTATCAAAGTTGTTTTGATCTACTTGAATTACAGGATGTGAATCTGTAGCCATTTTATTTTATCTTATATATAAAGCTGAATGTCTGTTTGGTGTGTGTTTGTGTGTGTGTCTGTACGTACTTTCCGAATAGAAAATTCCATTTCTGAACCGATCCGGACCAAATTTGGCACACATACACTTCGGGCCCCGGCGGGTGTCATAGGCCATTTTTCGTTATCGATCTATATCGATTTTATCGATTTTTTGCAAAATTTGAGCTACAGGGCTGGGAGTTGGCACAGGGGGGTAATCGAGCATGCTGGTTACAAATATGTTATTGACAGGCCCGGGCGGAGCCGGGTTTGTCAACTAGTTTACAAAATCGCAGAACATAAGACTGTTTGTTTCTGTTTCATTGCTATTTCTGATCTCAAAAACTCCAATAGCCGAAAGCTGATGCAATGATGCTTTTCGATTAGTTCTCTCTTCCCTGGATTTCTCTCGTACAGATCAGAGTGTGAAGCGATATGGCGAAACTAGCCATATGGTTAGCCGAAAACGAGAATATCGCATGGAACAGTCGTCGGTTTCGCCGTTTATCACATATCCGACACTTCCTATTGTCAACACCGCTTCCTAGCCTCTGCTTTGTACAAATTTCAAGCCAAATTTGGTTTTGGCCATAAGCGACAAATACAAAATCTTCAGATGGAGCAGCTAATCGCTGAAATTCGCAGACTCTTCAGTGATGACCGTGTGAACATTGAGGATGTGGAGAAATCTCTGCTTTCATACAAAAGTAACCCAAGAGACTGGAGAGATTTTGCACATTTCGATGAAAGAAAGTAAGTGCCATTTTCTCAGTAATTTTTCGTAAACTTCCCACTTTCCAAATCTAAAATTTTACTGCTATTCTAGCTATACTCGTAATCTTGTGGACACTGGTAATGGAAAATATAACATGATTGTTCTCTGTTGGGGACCAGGAATGTGTACAAAGTGAGTTTACCTTCTTTCCTTGAAAATATATCAACAATTGCAAATACTATTTTACAGCATTCATGACCATTCTGGTTCGCATTGTTTTGTGAAAATGCTTGAAGGCGAACTAAAAGAGACAAGGTGAGTGAATGGTGCAGCATGCTTATACTTAATTTCAAGTCTTGATTTGGTGCATTTGCACCATATCGAATTTCCAAATTTGCTCCATAAGGCAATAAAAGGTTGCCAGTTTTGGAGCTCAACCTAGATTTTCCGCTTTCTGTGCCAGTTATTACAGGCCCCTAAAATCCAATTGCCCACGCGTCGCTTTGAACACCAAGGCGCGGCGCGGCTGGAAACGTTTGGTCCCGAAGCGCTACAATCTTTTTGCGAGCGACAATGAGCGCGCACCCTTTCCACACATATTTTCTAAACTTGTGAAGGGAGCTTGTCAAGATATAGCTTGCATTGACGAGAACAACATGAAAGCTGAAGAAAGATTTCCTGGAATATAGTGAACGCCGACAGTCGTTTGCGACGACCGCTCGCTTACGCTGGTGTTCAAAGCACGGCGCGGGCAATAAGGTTTTACGGCGCCTATGGTTATTCAAAGTTAAAACTTAGTGCAATTGCACCAAATAGCTAAATTTAACTTCGAGTATGTTACATTTAAGGTTTGCCTTTCCTGAAGAAGAAGGTACTATAGGGCCGCTGGCAAAAACTGGAGAATCGACAATGTCACTGAATGAAGTCAGCTATATGAGTGGTAAGAGTGTTGGATATATAGCAACTAGCACATGTTGACGTACGCGCACGCGACCGCGCTGCTTGCGCTTTGCGTTGCGGCTGCGTCGCGGCATATTAATCGATGCATTCTGCTTCCATTATCAGCTAAGGTTCATTCAGATCAACTCGGACTGCATCGCATGGAAAACCCTAGCCACTCGGAAAATGCTGTGAGCCTACATGTATATTCACCGGCTTACGATAAATGCTACCTATTCGACCAGAGAACGAGTAACAATCAACAATTTTTATTTTTGCTTAATTGAAACGTCACCAAATGATTTAAGGTCAACGACATGTCTCCAATGTGACATTCTGGTCTCGTTATGGTAAGCTGTCAGATTCCATCGACATGCCGTTCGATCGCATTCAAACCAGTTCAAGACGAGGATAAATTCCAGTCATACCATTGCTGTTTGAAATTGATTTATTTTGTTAATTTATCAGATTATTTATTCATCGTTCGTGATATAAACAGAGCAAATGTGCTGTGACACAATGCAAAAATTGCAGCTCATATTTTTGAATTGATTCTTCTACCAGTTCGTCCACTCAACACCCATTGACAATGAGACGAAGTCGATAATGCCGTCTAGTTATGTAATTATCAGATGACTTCAAGAAATGATAGTTATTCACACCATTGTTCGATTTGCAGGTGACTGGACTAGATGATTTGACTGTCACTGTGATCTCTGTAAGGCCCTGGGCATACCTCTCGCGATTTTAGTCGCCATGCGATTTGGCCATTTGCCAGGTCTTCTCAGACCCAACGCTCGTAGACCACAATTGGTGTATTTAACTTTTATGAGTCGATAAAATGAGCTACTTCCAATGTGTTCAAATTGGGTTTGCGACGACTTATAAGCAACTGGAGTCATGCCAAGTCGCGTCGCCTCTAAAATCGCTTGAGGTATGCCCGGGGCCTAATAAAAAGAACTTTTGTTACATTTCTCGCCTGTTCTCTCGCAGCCGCTGATATTGGCGGTGGGGGGCACTGCTGCTATTCATTGCGTACACGAAATCTTTGCTTGAAAAATTGTCCGTGTGACAGGCAAACATCTGCGAACTACTGGCAAATTTTTCAAGAATCCCTTAGCGATTTTCTGGTTCATAGGGAAAGTTTCTGACTTGACTTTGCCAAAGCGCCTGCACCAAGTCCGCTCGAAAAACGCGATTTCCAAACCCCCAGCCAATTTTCAAAGTGGGTGATATTCATTTATAAAAATCCAAGTTCCACCTATCGATGAACCTTGGCATTATGAGCATTCTTCAAGTTGCTGTCCTTCACCTGTAAAAAGATCGGTACAGGATTTCATCGCACGGTCTGACGTTTCGGCAAACTTGCTTTCTTCTGATTGTGAGTAGAAAAACTGAAAGCACAAAGTAACCTATTCGAAAAAGCATCTTATCGGCTACAGAGAAAAACTCAAACCTCTAAGCAAACAATTTCAATCAAAGCGCAAGATTAAGCTAGTGCAGTTACGCGTTTTCAACTTTGAGACTCTGAAAAAGGCGAGTTTGCAGAAACCTTAGTCTATGCAATGAAGTCCTGAACCAATCTTGGTTTAATGCTGAAGAAACACAACTCGAAGAATATCTATCATTAAACGCTAGAGTCAGTAGAATTTCCGCTTAATATGGCGTGCTTGCACTGTAGGATGCGGTAAATTTTGTAGAAATAGCTACGCCTGTGATGCCTTCTACTTGTTTGCGCAGAATGCCGGCATTATTGGCGCGGCTGATTTTTACGCGCAAATTTTACCGCATTTCACCTTTTTTACGCGCATGTGCAAGCACACTATACTGAGCGGAAGATCTACTCGACTATACACCTCAAAGATTAAACACCGGAGTACTCTAGCTTCACAAAGAGGTCCTAAAAACAAGGTTTCGATTTCTTCAAGCTGCACTTCAGATTTGAAATGAGAAAAAGTTGAAGACAATATTATGGAAGCCGGGAATCTGTCCCGATGCTGCCTTTGAGGTAATAGGTCACGGTCACAAGCAGTGATAGAATGATTACTAATCTAATAGAACCAGTATCTCCCTCAGATGCTTGCTTGTGGCACAAACAAAACGAGAGTAAACGAATCCGCAGTCCCCCTTTTCCCACGCAAGATGGTCGGTAGCATTTTCTTGCCAAAGCTCATCTGCAAAATGTATTTTAGATGTCAGCGTTGCATTATCACTTCATTGCTGGGTCATATATTGGTTGCTCCTTGATGCTCGTTGTTACTTATCTCGTGATATACGACTTTTATGATGAAATGTTCGAATTTTACGAGATGGTAAATGAAGATCTTCGAATCTTCGAGGTGAGCTTCGCGTTCAGTCCGGACTCGTAGTAAGTGCATGTTGACTGTCTCCTCTTTCTAAAAACACCTCCACCAAAGGCATCTGTCTATCATTCTCTTTGTAGTTATTACTATTAGGTTGATACATAAGTCTTATACTAAAGTAAGTCTATATCGGAGTCAAATTCAAATTTTTTGCATTTTAAATAGACTCCGAAGTACCATTCGATGAAGCAAAGTGAGCTTCACAAGATGGTTCTTGACAGTTTGCATCAAATCCCACTAAGATTCATATGCCCCAAGAATCGAGAAAAAATTGGACTCCGTTCAAAATTTTTTTTGACTTGTTCACGCAAATTTATTCCACATCAGACATTTAGGCCCGTATGCACGTACATCCCCGCGGGGAGGGGAGGGGATCTGAGAGGGGAAGCGTCATATCTCGCTAGTCTACATATCTTTCTCTTTCTTTCTCTATCTTGCTTATGAAGTTTCTCATACACTGATACCTGCGCATAACGGATGCTAGGTTACTGCCATACAAGATTAAATATGCACTATATCTTCTGATCCCCTGGGCATCCCCAGGGGATCACCTCACATTTTCAAAGTCATTTATCTTCCTGAAAAATCAATGAAAACCCTGCAAAATTGTACTGAAGATATACCACGAAACTGCTGAGCATATTTTCGACAGAAGAAATGGAATCTTAAGATTATGATTTTTTCGATAATCCCTGGCTCGCGAGCAGCGGTTCATCGAACATTTTGATATCTTGAGATTTCACTCATTTCTACCATAGGCATGTTTGGCAGTGCTGTAGTATATCCTCAGTACAATTTTAGAGCATTTTCATTGAGTTTCCAGGAAGATAAATGACTTTGAAAATGTGAGGTGATCCCGTGGGGATCCCTAGGGGATCAGACGAAATAGTGAATATCTAATCTGTATGGCAGTAACCTGGCATCCATATGCGCAAGTATCCGTGTATGAGAACCTTCAAAAGCAAGTTAGAGAAAGAAGAAGAAAGATATATGGACTAGCGAGATATGACGCTTCCCCTCTCAGATCCCTTCCTCTCCCCGCGGGGATGTACGTGCATACGGGCCTTAGACAACTGCTAGATTTCCTTGGTTGAAAATCAAGAAAATAAGAATTCTTGTGCTTTTGCCAAAGCAAATCTGAGCTGTTCCCGCTCCAGTAATTGTGTACTACAACCTTTAGAAGTATAACCGTGAGTTTCCTCTTACAAGGCCTAGTCTTCGAGAAAAAATCTAACATAACAAGCATCAACAAGGGGAGCTAGATCGATAAACTTTCGAAAAGTAGCTCATGTCGAAGGCTGGGAAATATTGGAGCAGCTCAGCATTGCTTTGGCAAAACTAAAAATCTCCATTCTCTCAATTTCTAACCGAAATAGGAATCGAGCGACTGTTTATATGAGTGTCTGATGTGAGATGTATGTGTAAGCAGGTTGGGATTTCCGCGAGATTTCTTTACGGGAACTACATTTTTTTCTAGATTTTTCGGGCATTTAAATCTTTTTGGGTTGTGCCTTGATGGCATACATTTAAACATCATTTTGTAGAGCTTACTTTGCTGTATCGAATGATACCCTAAAATCAAGTGAATTACAGAAGTACGGGCTGATCATAGTATAAAGTCGCTTTATGCAAGTCTTGTACATCAATCTAGTGCTATGTTCCAGAAATATGCCAATGATGCGCAACGAACAATGAGTCTTCCGCGAGTGAAACTGACGGAGCGTGATGTATTCGAAACTATAGTGGGAATAAAGCGACCAACAGATTCACCTCCAGTGAGGAAGAATTCTCAAATAATGGATGAGAATCTTAGTGACGACCTTGTTCCATGTCAGAAAATGAGAATATGTTCCACTATTGTTCATGCGAACTCTTCTATTCTAATTTAATTTGCGTCGAATAAATGTATAAACCAATTTGACGACTAGTACAAATTTACGTTCGACTATCCATAAATCTTGGCATAGTTGCAATCTTCTCGTTAGTCGCTTGAGCGTAATCCAAGATTGGTACAGAACTTTATCGCACAGAATAACAGACTAACGTTTCGGCGAACTAGCCTTCTTCAGAGCCTGAGAAGGTCGAAGACGCATAAGTAAACTATCCGATCAAACACCTCGTCGACTACAGAAAGGAGCCCAGCCCTCTGAGAAAAACAACAGCCTCAGCCAAAACCAAGATTAAGCTAGTGCTCACCTTAGAAGATGATAATTTGGTGGGTGCAGACGACCACTTATGTCAAAAGCTGTACTGCTTTACTTTTATAGTTAACTAGTGACCCGACTTTGACCTGACTTCCTGTGCGATAAAGTTCTGTACCAATCTTGGATTACGCTCAAGCAACTAACGAGAAGACTAGTACAACGACCAGTACAGTCTGCCCCAATCCCAACCAGGCCAAAATTGGCATGGCGGGAGTCCGCGTCGCTAGGCTTTCGCGGTCACGCGCACGGCCTGCTTCTCTGCTCTCTCTGCAGTCCTTTGCTCTCTCCGACAGCGCGTATATGCAGCGCAGACCGCTAGCGCTGCGAGCGTGCCAAATTTAGGCCGACGTTCGGCCTGATCCCAATTGGAGCCGACTGTACACTTAAAAATGGGGTGTTTCCGCGTGTACTCTCTTTTGTTAGAAACTAAGCCAATTCCCGTAGTAAAGCTGTCTCATTCGATCTCAACTGAATAAAATTTCAGTTAAGATCAAATAAGTCAGCTTGCCCTCGTCGAGCCTTGATTGACGCCAACCATAGGCACAATAGGGAGAGCAGGGTCCCATCGAGCCTTGAGGCGAATGCTGACGTAATCTTAAATGCCGAGTGGGAGTGGGGTGTGCAATGAGGGGAAAAAAGTGGTACAGAGGGTGCCACGTGAAGATTCTCTCAATGTTTTGGTTTTGAAATCATCGAACAGATACTTTTTTGATTCAGAAAGGCTTTATGTCACATCAATTGACATACTAATCGAAAGCTTAGGGCATGTATTATACTAGGCTGTTGCATAAGTTCTGTCCGATTTGAATTTTTGAGTTTAAAATGTCATAACTTCTTTCAGAGTCAAC